TGTGTGTCTGTGTGTAATTAGGCCTCACTTGTGGCCTCACTTACCTTTACTTGGCGAGACATCTTTGTCTGCAACCTACTGCTGTCCCTATTACAGTGTACATACACATACACATGCTGAATGTCAGTAAATCACAGCCCAGTTTATCTATTGCTTTTATTGCAATCAATAAAATATGAAATTTCTCTCTCTCTCTCTCTCTCTCTCTCTCTCTATATATATATATATATATATATATATAGTAATGTAATGCTATAGTCTAATGTAGTGCAAACAAAAAGACAAAAATATTTTGTCTGAGGTAGTGCTTCTCTTGACTTACCACTACATCTTCAAATAGAGCTGTTAAGGGAGCCACTGTTTATGTCTAGTTGCTTTGACACTTTTCATAACTTCAATCTCAGACTTTAAGAGAGATTTTAGACACAAATAGTTGCATCACCCTGTTAAATTAACACTGTCCAAATAGGTTAACAGATGGACAGGACTGATAACCTTTTCCTCCAACATTAGCATTATTATTTTATATTTCGCCCTGGCCACTAGCCGCTGCCGTAATGATAACAGAAGACTAATGTGGCTAATAGATATAAAGGTTCAAATTCTCTATCTTTCCCCTTTTCACTCAGTTACATTCATGCACTGTCACGGATTAACACATTTACATGTGTATACATACATTTATATGCATAGCTGGGAGCAAGGAGGCTAATTGAACAGCGCCTTGGGTTTTCTGGTAATGTGTGAAAAGTGGTCAAGCACATGCACACGATCTCAGCACACATAGACACTCACATACATTAAACACATGATGAATGTTCTATAAATAGCTTCTTCGCCCTTTCTGTCTTTTCATTGTTCAGTTTTCCCCTCCCACCCCTGCCATGGGATTGGCTGCTCCCAAAGGAAGCATGAAAGTAGGAAAAAAAGGTGACGAAGAAAGGGAAGGAATAGATTTCGACCATGCGTTTTGTGTATATTTATACACAGTGTGATTTTTCTACTTTAGTTACTTCTTTTGGTCCTCTGATCACTTTTTTTCTTAGTCTGTTTACTTGATTCCTTTAAATGTAATAATTTATCCCATGATTTTAATGAGATAGAGGCACTAACTAGGGAAGACTCGGCCTGTGTGTGCATTTGTGTGTCTGGATGTGTGGGCGTGTTTGTGTGTTAGAGAAAAAAGAACGATTTAGATATATGTAATAAGGTACTCCCTCTCTCTCTCTCCCTATCTCTGGCTCAATTTCTGTACTAGCTGCCGGATGCTACATACTGAGAGCCAAATGGTGATGCCACAATAAGCCTCAGTCAGTGCCCAGGCATGTTATCATCAGTGATGGGAATAACGGCGTTACAAGTAACGGCGTTACTAACTAATCTAACTGATTACTATTTCTATAGTTACAACGCCGATACCGTTACTAACAAGAAAACGCAGTGTGGTCGCGTTACTATTTTTCAACAAACAGACGGCTGAAGCTGTGTTCAGTTTACCGCATCTTATATCAGTTGCATGGAAGTAGCTGTAAGTAATCTGGGCACTACAGCTTTAAGCAGCTGCGCGTGCTCCCGCGGGTGGCAATCACTTTCTGACCGACGATCACTTTTTGGTACAACACCTGGAGCTAAGGGGGCAAAACAATCGCATGAGTGCTTCTGTTTGACTGAGGAACACTAAAGTAGTCGTGGTAAGCCAATCACATGACCACTTTAAGATGACAAAGCAACAAGGTGATATATACCAGTGTTTAAATTGTGTTGATAGGCCACGTAAAACCAGAGTCATGATAAACAATATATGCTGAGTTTTTTCCTCAATAGTTTCGTCACGTTTACTGTCTAAGGACAGCGCTAGCAAGCACTCTCTGCTTATGACCCCCAAAAAACAAACAAAAAAACGCCCTTTCGTGTTGGTGGAAAAATGTACCTTGTCGACCAATCAACAAAAGGTATGGCAACGTGACTTTTGGTTGTTTAGAGGGGGAAGTTTTAGGAGTGACAGGCGGCAAGAAAGAGAGAGAGAGAGAAAGAAAAAGAGAGAGAGCCAGCTTTGAGATGTGAGCGATTTGTGACATTTAGCATGTTTGGAGTGTGTAGTTAATGTGTTGTCTTGTGTAGTTAGTGTGTAGTGTTGTGGATAGTTTGGTGTTGTGTGTCAGAACAATGAGGCGATTGCTGTCTCCAGGTAAAAAACAAACAAACAGGAGTGATACACCTGCTGCTGTCAGGCCTGCAGGGATCAGGCTGTGATGTTCTCTTTTATAGTCGACAGAAATTATTTTTTTGGAGTGGCACAAATAATTTGTGTGGCATCTTATTGAATGCAGAACAGCTGATTGTTGTGTAAATAGTTTGAAATGGTTATAAAAACAATAGTAAAAGGTAAATGGCTGCAAATAACTTGTTGTTTGTGAAACTTGTGCTTATGATTTTCAAATTGACAATTTAATTTGCATTTAAAGTTATGAAATAGGATTCAATAAACAAGTAATGTAATAGTTACTTTCCAAGTAATTAAATACTTTTAGCATCTTTTAACTCAGTTACTTTTTTGAAGAAGTAATTAGGAACTATAATTAATTACTTTTTCAAAGTAACTTGCCCAGCACTGGTTATCACACACTTACACAAAAAGACACAGGCTATATTAAAGTGTATCTTTGTTTTGCTTGTCCGTGTGGGTGGTGTGTTATCAGAAAATATACTTAGCAGAACATATTTAACTGACTCATAATGATGGCTTGTGGGTGTGTGTGTGTATTTGTGTGGGTAAATAGTGGCAGAGAGAAGCCAGACTGTGGTCCATTTGAGTTGCTATATTTTCTTTTCACACTTGCTTACACTCAGTGAATTCAAACTGCATATATATTTGACCTTCCTTTTGACCTTTCATGTTAGGGTAGGGATGTTTTCTATATTATCCCTGACGTTTTTAGCAGGCCAGGTAAGTTAGCTCAGTACGTTATAAGTGAATCTGTCCAACAAGGCAGTGCTGCAATTTTTTTACTTTTCTGTTGGTGCTGCTCTGTTCTTGCCACAATGGCAAGATGATAATAGCAACTCCTGACCTAGTATGTGTAAATTTGCACATTATTTGTAACACTTTTAAATAACTATCCAACTATCCAACTGTGCTCTGTTGGATTAAGGCAGTGGTTCCCAAACTTTTTTTGCTAGGCCCCCCTTTGTTTTACAAGAAAAATACCATGCCCCCCCTGCAAGGGGGGCGGACCCCACACTTTGGGAACCTCTGGATTAAGGTGTGGTAACTATGGAGTACGTATGAACTGATTGTCTTGTTCAAGCAACCAGTTTGAGTTGATCTGGGCTTTTATCTTGTTTAAATGATGCTCACTTGGGCATTTCAGTAAGGGCTTCAGCTGCATCACTCCCGTGTGACAGGGTGATGAGATATTTGTGTTAACAAGCAATTAATGTGGTGGTTTGTGGTTCAATTAAAAAAGATTTGTTCCTTCACTGAACTTCCTCACTCCATTTGAGTGGATGATTCTAGCCACCATCATTGCCAACTGCATTGTCTTGGCTCTGGAACAACATTTGCCTGATGGGGACAAGACGCCGCTCTCAGAACGCCTGGTAAGCTGAATAACCAACACAAAATTGCATGTGTTATACATGTAAATGCAATTAAATTCAGGTGATAGTTGTATATTTGTGAGATAATTTTTTATTTTATTTTTTAAAATTTATTTGGCACATGAGACTATTTGCAAAAATACTTCTGAAACTCATTCGCCAACTGCCAGCTAACTTACTTTGTCTTTCTGTGCCTTTTAAACCATCATAACCTTTCCTGCTTTTCCTCTCTCCTGTCTTTCCACTCCTCCTTTGCTTGTTTTCTCTTGTGCTCCCCAGGATGATACAGAGCCGTATTTCATAGGAATCTTCTGTTTTGAGTCGGGAATAAAGATCCTGGCGCTTGGTTTTGCCTTCCACAAGAACTCTTACCTGAGAAACGGATGGAACGTGATGGACTTTGTCGTAGTGCTCACAGGGTGAGTATTAAGCAAATGTATATGAGCCAAGCACAGACACATACATACATAATACAGTGTGTAACCTTTATTTAGATCTAAATGTGTGCCTGACTAAACTCAAACATAACAAAGGATTTTCCAACAGCATGTCAAAATCTGTCATGTGTTTTAGTATGTTTGTATGCATGTATGTGTGCAAGTGTCCTTTTCCTGCTCCTTTGACCTAATGAAAGGCCCCATTCTGGGCAAGGCAGCAGTCAGATCACAGAGCAGAACTGCAGGCAGCCAGCAGCCTGGGTAGTGAACAAATGTCACCACAATATAGACAGCGACAGAAGGGGTGGGGAGCACAGGGGGAAGCAGCACTGGAGAGAAGGCAAGAAAAAATGCAGGTGCCGCTACCTCAATAGAAAGAGAGACACAGTAGGAATGAATGGAAAGAGACAATGTAAGAAAGGGAGATGAGTAAATAAGATATTTGATTTGAACATTCAACGAGAAGGTGAAGACGAGGGCAAAGGGAAGCGATGGAATGCAACCTGAAACCTGTCACAGAAACGGTGTCAACAAGGCCGAGTTCAGACATGATGGGATTAAAATGATGGATTTACTATTGCCTTCACTTATTAGATTATATCTCACATGAAAAGACCAGAGACATTAGATAATAGGTTTGATTGACAGAAATGAAAGACAGAGAAGAGAAGCGGATGATGGTGTCTACACACATTCAAATGGGTTTACATTTTACATTCTTGCTCATTTGTCTGTGCTAAATTCTGTTTTCCCGACGCATCCATCTGTTAATCCATCATTTAAGCTGACTGTCAAATGTCATTCCTGCTATCCTTCGTGTTTCTTTAAAGACACAGTAAGCCTCTTTTATGTATCTACCACTGCTACACACCTGTGTGACGCTGCAGGCTGATGTGACACAGATGAATGCGATGCATGAGTGATGCATTAACAAACGACAGTGTTTGCATGTCTCACTGTTGATGTTCAACTGAAGCGCAAATTACCTGCAAAACATAAAAACTGCAAAAAAGCTAAAAAAAAAAAAAAAAGTAAACTGGTTGATAATTTATTTTTGAAATCTATTTAAAAGTTGTTTCTTAACAACTTTGCAAATTCTAGCAGCAATACAATCGTGTCGCTGTTTGGGAGTGGTGGCACAGATTATCATGTTGAGGGGATTATGTCCACTTGTGTGTGCATGGGGTGAATGGTGGGGACTTCATGGGGTAGACGAAGCAACCGGTGAATCCAGTGATTGCTCCTTTCTGCCCAAATTTCTCTGTCTTGCACAAGGACACCACACATGCACTGAGCAGACACCCAGTGCAGCAGTATGTCCTTATGCTTTAATAAGAGCAATCACGAAGCCAAGTTCCTCTCAGCATGGTGCGATAGAGCGACTGAAACAGAGAAGAGAGGTGAGAAGACAAGTGTCAGCATGACAGCAGGAAGTAGTGAAATGCCGAGAGGATAAGGAGGTACAACAGAAGGAAACAAGAATGTCCTTAAAGCTGATCTTTGATTTCTTTTGCCAATTTTTTCTATTTTACCACTCGATCTGTTGGTAGATTATTCTCAAGTGAATTGTCATTGGGGGGAGACAAGATTAGAAAGGAGTGTATCAGGGGATAGCTCAGGTTGAGCAGTTTGAAGAGAAAGTTAGAGAGGTAAATCTGGACATGTGCAGTGGAGGGATCGTGGATATACCAGACAAAGGATGTTGACAATAAAGATGCCAGGCAGGAGGAAAAGAGGAATATCAGAGGAAGACTTATGCAGACGGTTGGTGTAAGAGAAAAGGATGCAAGGGTTAGGATGAGATGGAAGCAGATGATCTACTATGCTGACCCTCTAAAGGGAGCGGCCAAAAGAAGAAGTGTTATCTGATGACCTCAGGGCAATCACTGTTAAATGGCACACATTGGAAAAAAAAGCTAGATTTGTTTGAATGGATTATGTATGCACTATTTTATCAGCATATATTAGCCTTGTTGACTACCCTTTCTAAACATAATGGCCTTCATTAATGACATCTATTTTATCCAAGTGGTTTTGTGGCCCTATTTGGAATTTAGTGTCATAAACATGTAGGATTTTATTCAACAATAGCTTGACAAAGAGTTGCAAGACTTCAAGGTGGTTATTTATTTGCAATGATTTTTTGTTGACTTCTCAGAAAAGGGGTCAATAAATAACAGCAACAACAAAACAAACAAATTAAAAAAACATCAGCATTAACGAGTGGAGTTTCACAGCGAGTCCATCACTAACAGATGACTGACAAGTGCATCATAAGCAGTCTTGTTCTAGACCTGACAAATCACCCATGAAAATCCAATGGCAATGATGCTGTGCTGAGTGTCTGATACATTATGAGCTACTGTTTTGCAGGTTCAGGTGTGAAGTTAGGGCAACACAGGGGTCAGCACTGTCACCTTACAACAATAATGATTTGATACAAAGGTGGTGGTTGGTCGAAGCCTTTCTGAGTGCAGTTTGCACTTTTTTCTTGTGTCTGTGCAGGTTTTCTTTGCATACTCTGGGCTGTAGCTGTGGATTTAATTAAAAATGGTGAAAACCTTGTCATTGATTGACAGCTCTGCTTCTCCCCAGTGTCATCTGGGTGTCACCAGCTCCACCCCATCTGCTGCTAAGTAAATTGATGGATGGGTGGATGGATGGATGGAGGCGTGAAATGATCAGATTCAGGGATTATTTCTCGAAGAAACAACCACATTGGTGTATAGCCTAAACAGCAGCCATCACGCTGTAACCCTCCCTGTCAACCAGCTGTGGTCTATAGCAATATTTACCGAGCAGCACATAGTGTACACACATAGTACATTCCCATGATGCATTGAGGACGCTGCCTGCAGTCAATACATTTTGCACACATGTGGCGCACTCGTTCTTTGTTGTGCTTTCTATGAATGGCCAGTGTGTTTTTAGCAGTCCAGCTCTTTGAAGATGAAAGGCTACTTGGCCTTTCTATCAACCTTTGGTGGAAACCTTTGATAACACAGTGACCACATGGGCGCGTGCACACACACACGGCCAGACATTTCCACTTCAAACATTCTTTTCCGTGTCCTGCTCGCCCTCCCTGCACTTGCTGGCGCTCTCTTCAAACACATACAAAGACAAACACACAAATAGCACTTAACATGTCTGAATACATCACCGAGATTAGCTATTTACTCTACGGTCTTGTTCCAAGTCGTCTCATTTGTGGGTGTTGACCTGTGTGTTGTAGTTAATTGTCAGAGTGGCTTGACAGTGAAAATAAGCTGGTTGGATTTGTTTGTTTCTTTGTTTGTTTTTCTACACCCACTATTGATTATTAGCCTAGTTACATTTAATTTACAGCTGTTCTTGCATTGCATCCTCTTCTTTCTTTTGCTTTCCTGTACCCGTGTTAGGACTTTTTGATTAGATTCAACAGCTAAAAAGAAGCATAAAAAATGAATGAAGCTAGAACTACTATTTCAGTCATTTGTAATAGATGTTATGGTTCTTTCGTAAATGTCAAGAATTCATAGCCTCCTCCCTGCAACTCTTCCATAGACTCCAATATTATAAATGCTCCCAAAATTCGTCTGAAAATCAGAAGTACAGGCTGTCTTTACACTGTCATCACATCCATATAATAAACTCCACAGGCATGAAAACTGAGAATTTTTTAGACTGGACATTGCTGGCGCTTACGGTGAAAGAATTTTGTCAATACGACTTGTAGTTTTTTCTTGGGAAGCATTTGTTTCGGGGTCACTTTCTGTTTATTTAAAGCAGCAGAAGAGAGGCACGTGTCTGTGTGTGTGTGGTGCCACTGGGTGCAGTCTCTATAGCAACCAGGCTCACACCTGTCTGCTTAACGAGCTCTGTCTGCCACTCTGCCAAGATTAATCTTAAACACTTCTCTTTCAACTGCTGCTGTGGTCCACAGTGTTTGCTCTACAGCCATCATTTGACCCTTAAAACGTAGCCATCGTTGTTCTCTTTCCAACAGTGTGTCTTTCAAAGCTCAGAGATGTAAACATTTTGAACTGTGTGAATCCAAGTAGATGGATAAAATTCTAACCAACCCATATAAATACACTGTATTTTTAGTCAGGAGTTTGTCTCAACAGCAGGAAAGACCCCACTTGTTAAATCTTTCCTGTCATCGCATTTTGACAACAGGAACATAAAGAACACACTGTTGTGTAGAACAATTCCTTGGGATCATTGCAGTTCAAAACTGATTTTGACAGGACTTAGGGTCTTCGATTTAGAAGCAGTTTTTCAGATTTGACAGGGTTTTGCACACTGTAATAAGTATATCAGTAGTCAACTGGATTGAGCAATCTGGTTGTCCCATTAAATTCAAGCTTATTGTTCATTGGTGGATTTGTCTTCTACACACAGGTGGTTCAGATCTGGGCATTTGAAGTCAGATGATGACTTTTAGAATCATCTTTTCTGACTGGACGATCAAAACTTACAGGATTTACCTATCTTTAGTGGACTTTCCCACATTTTAATCATTCAGTGATTTAAATAATATGAGGTTTCATTATTCATTCAGATGTTTTATGACTCTGAATTTTCTTTTGTCATAACTCAGGTTTTCCTAATTTACATTTTAATCATGTTAAGCTATTTTTCAACTTTTTATGTGTGAACGTCAGCTTTCAACAGTTCTGCACTTTTGTTTTCAGGTGAAAAATTCTGTATTTTTCAGCTCATTCAACATTTTTAACTTAACATTCAGCAATTATTTCATTTCAGCTCAAAACATTCAGCTATCAGCATCCACACTGCAGTTTCTTCAGAAAATGCATTTTCTAGTTTTCATTGTGAGCTTCCTGAGCAGAATTGTGTAATACTCCACACAGAAGGGACCGAGCTGGCCAGAAAACTCCATGCTCTAAGGTGACTGTGCTACCCACTGCAAAACTGCACCATCCCTAAGGAGTATGCCTTCCTGTTTAAAATGTGTTTTGAAGTTATTGCAATTTCCTGCAGCTTTAACATTCAGATAATTAAATACTGTCTAGGGCGGTCTAGAGGTACTACCTCGCCATTTAAAAAAAAAAAAGTGTCTAGAATTTTGCTTACCAGACTAATGCAAAGCTGTATGTGATGCTTTATTCCCACAGTTTACAAATTATTAAAGGGAATTTCATTATAAAAGAAGAAATGAATGCAATGAAAATGTATGTGCAGTCTAAGCAGAACTGTCAAAATCTGCTCAAATGTCCCTCTCCACTGTCACTGCCACCAGCTCTTTGAGGAACGAGGGGCATACCAATGTGCTTCCAAGCCAGTTGAGAAAAATGTTCTTTCCCGTGTGTCTTGGGTCTACCCTGGGGTCTTTTCCCTGTTGAACATGCCCAGAATAACTCACCTAAGAGGCATCTAAGAGGCATTCTATTCAAATGCTAAACCCACCACAACTGGCTCCTTTCTTGTGTAGGACAGTGCTGTACTTTAAGCCCCTTTTGAGTGACTGCGCTACTTACCCTATCTCTGAGGATCAAGCATTTTGTGTGTATCTGCAATCCTTTTCTCCACATTGCCATAGGTGAGAATAGAAACCCAGATCAGCCAGTAAATTATCAGCTTGGTCTGGCTTTGGTCTCTTTTCCCTACAATGGATCTCCCGGTCCACCTGCGGCAGGAGACGTGGGCTCTTGTGAATTCTGGGAGAAATTCTGAGTGTCAGCTGATTGTCGAGGTCTGATTGCTGGCTCAAGAGACACTTAATATTTTATTGATGTTATAAAAACATTAAAGAGCATACTGGTGCATTTAATGCAAAATATTTGAATCATAGTCACAGATGCAACCAAGGAGACAAGGACAGATAACAGGAGAGCTTGGAGCAGAGATGGTGAGATTCAGTCAGTGATGTGGACAGAGATATTTAGCTGGATTTTAGCTGAAGTCAGCAGGAAGCTGCAGAGGGAGATAGCAGGGATAAATGTTGTTTGTATAATGCGTTGGTTTCTCATCAGAAGTGGAGAGATGAGGTTTTTGTTATAGCGATGTTGCTTCATCTGATTCCCCTTAACCATTTGCTCTCCTTTTACTTACATGCAGGTGTGTGTGCATTCTGTGTGTGAATTTAAAGATGTACAGTAGAGAGCATCTGTTCCTGGCAGGGAAGAAATTGTTTTCCATTGATTATTCCAAATGACCCAGTTTCCATTGTGCACACTTGAATAAAATTATTTTCTCTCAGTATGTTTAAGCTTCAACCAACACCCATTTGCTGTGCAGATGCGTGCATCCGTGTGCACGGGTGTTTTTGCATGTATCGTGTGCAGATGTGCAGCCCTGCATGTAAGCTGCAAAACATTTACATGAAATAGAAAAGAAGACGAAAAAAAACAAAACAAAACAAAAAAACAATCAATCTAGCTCCTCCCTTGGCCCTGTTACCAAGGTGATACAGAGATTCTATCAATGAGCCAAGGTCCCTGTTGCCATGGAAACACTTATGAATGAGAAAGGACCCGGTAACCGTGGAGACAGTGTGAATGAGGAACTGCCTCATCAGTTTGACACTATTTGTGATGGCAGATGAAATCACCGTCATGTTATTACCATCATCGTTGTTACTATCGCCATCACAGTTATCAACATCATCATAGTTCATTATCGTTATTGTCCAGTCATCAGCGTTGTTAATGTTTTTTACTGTAATCATAGTCACATCACAGAAATAGATAAAATAATTGGATTTGTAATCACAGGTTGTTTTTTTGGCAAAGAGTTTCTGTACTGCGGTTCCAAAAATACTGACACAGGTATACGTGTTCATCTTTTATATGTAAATGTAGATGTGTTTCTTCATGTCAGCACACAGATGTTTTTGCAGCATGATATACAGGTTTTTCCTTCTATGAAATTTCACTATTCTCCTTTTTATATCAACACAGTTCAGTTTAGAGGGTAAATATTCCAACTGATCCACTGTTCTTTTTGCCCTTACATTTAAAATCAGTATAGCATCTATCTAACTCACTCTTTTCGCCCCAGTTGCACTTATGGTAAATGTTTTTTTTTCCCCTTGTGCAATACCTAGTGCAAATTTACCATCCTCGACTACATCATCTTCATCTTCCCTTCATGGCTATCCTAACTTGCATTAATGTAGCACTCTGTTGTTGCCAAGCATCTTTCAGGCTAATGTATCCTTGAGCAAAACACTAAATCTGTACTTCCTTTGTTGGTCATCTTGCGTAGCAGAGGGCAGCTCGGTTATTTCCTGGTAAAGCAGCATTTTCAGCAATAAAACTCACTGTTTTTTTAAGCAGAAAGCATAGTAAAGCAAATTATTATCATCATTAGTAAGATGCCAGACTACAGTTATTTACTTGCATTGCTGAACAGAAAAATTTGTTGAACGTTAAACTTGATTCATTCCGGGCTTTCAGATGAGTCCAATGAGTGTTCTGATTAATTAAAAAAATAAAATAAAATAAAATATATATATATATATAATATATATATATATATATATATATATATAATTTATATGTATTAGTAATTATATATAATATTGTGTATTTTTTATTTTTTTTTTTTTTTTTTTTTTGCAATTTATCCTAAATACAGTTTCTGCAACTTATAGGTTGAGTTCCCATTAATATAACACTGAGTATTATCTCTGTGTGATATCTGTTCTTTTAGAAATATCATGCAGCTGAAGTGCATTAACACCTCCTACTAAACTAGGATCCTCTCAGTTACAGGTCAGCGTCTGATGAGGCATTTGATATCACACAATGTCATTACAAGGACCCCAGCCTATACACTCGTGATGAAGCACCAACCACTTGGGGGGTGGGCTTCCTGGTAATACAATACCACATTCAAAACCACAACCATGCATGCCTTCAACCAAAAACCCGGAGTTGGTGTCAATTTTCCCTTCTATTCAAATGTGAAGGAATCAGGCAGACCTTAAACCTGTGATTAAGACTGCAATGTCACTAGGCCTCTTAGAGGAACACAGGCAGGTAGAAATGTGTCAGAGAGACTGGACGAAAGAGAGACAGAGGGAGAGAGATAGAGAAGTGGGAAGTTTGATGATTCACAGTGTGCGTCAGACGATGGGACTGACTACAAGTCTGGCGGCACGAGGGAACATTTTAATCCTCTACTTACCCATACACACACACACACTTGCTGTTTATGGCATTTATTTTGATGATGAGTGAATATATAGTTGCAGTAGCACACGCTAATATGTGTTTACTCAGAAGAGAAACATCAAACATGTAACAATAAATAAGCAAGTCATAATCTTTCTGTTTTTCACTCTCTTTTTATTTCCTTAATCCCGTTCCTTCCCTCTCCTCCCCATTTCCCCATCTTTCTCCTTTTTCGTTGTCTAGTCGCTCTCTCGTCTTGATACAAAAACACTTTCCATTCAGCCCATCCCTCTCTCACCCTGATACACTCCTCTGTCTTACTTCACTTGTCAGCCGTATCGATCAGTTCAGCTCTTACAGGATTTACATACAGAGCTCACCCAGTTGTTTGTAATGATCTGGCATGGGTTTGTGCATGTATGAGAAAATGGAGAAATGGAGAAACTGCGAGGTTGACAGACTTTGACAAGCTTGCTAGCTTAAATATTGATTCTTTGTGCTCATTTCGGTGCATTTGTCTTTTTCCCTTTAGAATTCTATCCACTGTGGGCTCACAATTCGACTTGCGGACACTCAGGGCTGTGCGAGTATTGAGGCCTCTCAAACTGGTGTCTGGTATTCCCAGTAAGTCGATATTCTTCATCTGAGAAAAATTTGAAAAAGGCTATCTTCACCTTTACCTTGAACCACATCTTTGTCGTTGCTTAACAATTGAGAAAGCGATAAGTGCAGAACATCTTTAAATTTTATTTGGGGATCAAAATAGCATGGAGAAGCATTTTGTGTCAAGGTTTTATGCAGCTTCTGTGTTGCTCTGCATAATGCAACAACAAAAGTGGTACTTCTGTGCACACTCTGCTCATTTTTTAAATGTTATAGTGGCAGTAATGTTCCAGCACTACTGCCACAGCAGTGTTATTAATAGCCTGTTCTCCACTATGGGCTTGAACAGGCATACCAGGGCTTACTCATCATAAAAGTCACTTGGGTTTCTATGAAAAGCCAATTAGAGCATCACACCAGTAGGTGCTACAATATATATGTTTATGGTTTATTTCTATTTATTATAAGTTTAATGATTGGGTATAAATGTGTAATTAGGATATTCAAGTATTTCTTTACAGAAAGGTAGCATAACTGCAAACTAATTGAAATTAGTTTTAGGATAAAGAGAGCGGATAGATTAAAATGAAATGTATAAAATGATTCTTCATAAAATCTTAATACTTTATACCTGTGTGCTTTAGGCTTACAGGTGGTGCTCAAATCCATCATGAAGGCCATGATTCCTCTGCTGCAAATTGGCCTGCTGCTCTTTTTTGCCATCCTCATGTTCGCCATCATCGGCCTCGAGTTCTACATGGGCAAATTCCACAAAACCTGCTTCGACAACATAACAAGTAAAGGATTTTGTGTTTACACTTTGGCAATAATTCAGTCGGGATTAAATTGCTCGAAGTTTTCCTCAGAGAAGAGTGCACCTGTTCACGCTGAGGCAGACTTTAAATAGTTGCACTGCTAAAATTAGAACTTAAAATAGTACATTTTTGGTATACTGTGCAGTTTCTGCAGATGTAGCCTCATTCAACATCTGAAGTATTTGACGTTTTCTCAAGAGGGATTTAAAATTATTAAATACATTTGCGAGTACATGGAATTTGCTCATACTTGTTTTATCCCACTTTTACGCATGTTTAGAAGAGATCCGGGAAGAGTTTCCATGTGGGGTAGAGCTTCCATCTCGGCTGTGTCCAGAGGACACCGTTTGTAGAGAGTACTGGCTGGGACCAAACTACGGCATCACCCAGTTTGACAACATTCTGTTTGCTATTCTCACCGTTTTCCAGTGTATCACCATGGAGGGCTGGACTGACCTGCTCTACTATGTATGTCAAGCTGAACAGCATTTGCAACACTAGTACACATTCAGTGACCAACGTTTTGGCCACACCAGTGCACCCAGGAAAGCAGAGGATGTCTATGTAAAGGTGTTAAATCTAGCAAGGCAAAAATAAAAGATTTAATAAAGAAGGTCTTGTTCAAGAGAAAAAAAAATGCTACAGCATGATAAAATTCCACAAACCTGCTCTTATCATGTTTGCCTGTTAATTCATCTTAGAAAAAAAAAATACAGTATCAGTTTATTTTGCTATCTGGTGATCATGGGAAAAAAATATTTCTGTCATATTTTGTGGCTGTTTTTTACGGATTAAACCTTCACATTAGCTAAAATATCTATAACAAAACAGCAAACAAAAAGATCTAATGAAGTGCACCTTAGGTTAGCTTTCATGCTTGTCAGACTTATTTTTAAACAAACTCCTGTTAACAAGCTGGAGTAAAATGTAAATTTTACTCCAGTTTGTTAACAGGAGTATTTTCACTCAAAGCCATTTGAGAGTGCGTTCTTTAATCAAGTACAAAAATTAGACTGTTAAAACCTTCAACAATTTCACCTGTGCAAACTGCTTATCTACCTATTAAATGAGTACTAACAATGCCATCACTCATGTCCAAGACTGAATTGTTCCCTGCTGTCAGGGGCAACGGTTGCTGTGGACACCAGAGGCAGATGAGGGTCTTTGATTGTTACTGTAGTCATCTGTTTTTCCCATCTCCTTTCCCTCTCCGTCCACCCAGTTCTTTTACCTTTCTCCCTCTGTCCTTTCCTTTCTCCCCTTATTCCTGTTTGTCTTCCTGAGTTCTGTCCCTCTCCCTCTGTGTCTCTCTCCTTCTGTCCCTCCTTCCCGGTGCTGCTCTATATTTAAAAAGGCCTGTTCAGCCCAAGTTATTCTTGCAGCTGCTCGGGAGGGGAGCAATAAAAGTTTAATGGTAGAAAAAGGGTCTGCGGTACATTGGGTACACAGCGGCGATGCCGGCTTACATGCAGGAAGAAGGAAAGATGGAGGAGACTGGAAGGAAAAGGGAGGGAGGCTATGAGAAAGAGAGCTCGAAACAGAAAAGAAAAGCCCGGGTCTCAAGTTGGGATTGATAAAATCACTGTAAAGGTTGTTCAGTGACAGTGAGGAGATGGCTATGGAGAAAGGAATGAAGAAAAGGTTAAACTAGCATTGAGATAGATAAGGGAGTGATGAAAAGGCAGATGGAGGGCGTTCTTAAGGGGTTCCATAGGAGGAGGGGAGACAAAACAATAAGAACTGAATAAAGAATGATAATGAAAGAATGGTCTGTAAGGGAGGATGGTAGGGACCGAGAGCGAGAGAGCAAAGCATTTGTTATACATTATTTACTCTCTCGGAGCAGCTAAATAGAGTGGCAGATACGCATTTACTTACTGAGATGACTTAAAGCAAAATCATGTCATGCCTGCTTTTGTTTATGTTTCCATAAGTCGTAGACAGCAGTTTAAAGCACATTGTTTCCACTCTTTGATGACAACGTCAAAGAATAAGTCACTAGGATAGCAGTAGGTTATTTTTAATTAGGCTATATAAAGCGTATTATATCTTTAACTTGGTGGTGGTGCATATATATGTACATGAACGTACCTCAATGTGACAAAGCAGGGAGGTAGAGAATGAATTTTGATGCCTTCAGCTTTCAGCAAATCAATATGTATATATAGCTACAGCTGCTCAGTTTTTCAGGTGTACCCACTTTGCTGATTTAAATGAATGAAAAATTCAACCTTTGATTCAAATTAACTGAAAAGTTCATCTTATTAATATTAACCTTTGTTAAACTTCCCAAAGCTCACATTTATAAACCATTATCTAACATTAACTGGTTTCTTTTAATTCACTTTGTATCAAATACTCAAGTAAAGAGCAAAACATTGATTCCTGATTAATTATGTTTGTGTGTGTGTGTGTGTGTGTGCGCTCGCGTGTGTCCTCACGTGTGTTTCCAGAGCAACGATGCCTCAGGGAGTGCATGGAACTGGATGTACTTCATCCCCCTCATCATCATCGGCTCTTTCTTTATGCTCAACCTGGTGCTGGGTGTGTTGTCGGGGTAAGTTTATGTGCATGTGTAAATATATAAAAAGAAACAGTCCCAACGTGCTTTACAGTGGTCTCAGGTGATGATGTGATGTGCAGGGTATATACTTGTGTCATGTGTGTGTCTGCAGCGAGTTCGCCAAAGAGAGAGAGCGTGTGGAGAACAGGAGTGAATTTCTGAAGCTCCGAAGACAGCAGCAGATTGAAAGGGAACTTAACGGTTACCTGGAGTGGATCTGTAAAGCTGGTATATATGACTGAGTGCATGCCTGGCAACATTTGACCATATAAAACACCTGACATGTATTACAGTGTAATACATGTCAGATGTCACAGCAAATTTCTGCTTAGATATTAACACTCAAACCACTGGAAATTCAGAAGACTTAATATATATTCAGCTGTAAGTTTGAAGACCAGCTTGTGTGATGCTGGAATGAAAGTAAACCATCACTTTTTCCCGAAACGTCAAAGTAAACACTTAAAAAATGAGGCCAAAAATCCCTTTTTGTGGATTTTATCATAAAAGCAGTCACAGTAAACATGAGTTATAATGTGACATTATCACAATCACTTGCACAACAGTTGTTATTCAGGGAAGAAGGATCCATATTACATTATATTTTATAGTTATAGCTGAATACACACTGACACCTTAGCACTGACAAGTTTTGGTTTGCTCTTATTCAAAAGTTTCCCATTGCAGCTGCTCTATATGGTTGTGCTTTCTTTTTGCCATTTTTTTCAATGTCATTTACCTTTAACATAACACATATCCAGTAAAGCAGTGACACAAATTTAATGGAACTTATAACACATATTATATCTTGAATATCTTACAGATTACAGACCCTTGGATAGAGAGTTTTGTCCACCTCTCCGGCCTGGTAGCTATCTGTTGAAGGCAGGAAATGTGAGAGAAAATAAGAGTAAAAGAGGGTCTAATCGAATAAAGGGGCAGATAAAGGGGACAGAGCTTTGATCTTCCTGAAAAGACAAATTTTACATAAAAACACAGAAGCTAATAAAACAAAAGAGGGACTACTGAGTGAAACAGAGACTATGATTTAAAAAGATGTATGAAGATGATGTTATTTGGAAATAGTAGTTTAAATACAAATGCAAAGATTCAAATAAATGGTGTTGATATTGAAAGAGTCAGTGAAAATAAATTTCTGGGGGTAATAATAGATGAAAAACTTAACTGGAGAGCTCACGTAAGATATATTCATTCCAAAGTATCACGAAGCATTGCAGTACTAAACAAGGCAAAACAGGTATTCGACAGAACATCACTTCATATTCTCTACTGTTCACTGGTTTCACCATACTTAAGCTATTGTGCAGAGGTCTGGGGCAATAACTATAAAACCACATTACATTCACTTTTTATTCTTCAAAAAAAAGCAATTCGAATCATCCACAATGCAGGTTATAGGGAACATACAAACTCACTATTTTTGCAGTCTGAAATATTGAAAATTGACGATATAGTGAAATTCCAAACAGCACAAATTCTATTCAAAGCAAAAAATAAAGAACTGCCAGGTAATATTCAGAGTATGTTTTTTTTGAAAGACGGAAGTTATAATTTATGGGGTTTTTGTAACTTCAAAACAATGAAGGTACGTACTACAAGAAAAGGCTTTTGTGTTTCTGTTCATGGAGTGAAACTATGGAACAAACTGAATATGGAATTAAAGCAATGTCCAAACATAAAACTGTTCAAAAAGAGTTATAAAAATATGATCTTCTCGATCTATAAAGAAAAGGAAAATATTTAAATTAAGTGAATGTCTCTATTTAAAAACAAACAAACAAACAAAAAATTCATGATGTGATATTATAGTATATAGTATATCAGAAATCTGTTCACTATTTTTATTACAAATTATATCAGTAAGGAAGCTGACTAAATATTCACTGATAATTTATGGCAAAGGGGTGGGATTAAATAAGTGTATACTTCTTCCCACTCCCTTTCAACATGTAAATTAATCAGAATGGTTTTTTGTATGTAATTTGTATAGTATTTTTTTCTCTCTTATTTCTTTTCTAAATGTACTTGTATATTGTTCACATGTTGAAATAAAAATTACCAATCAATCAATCAAATCAATCAAGATGTTGTGGAACTTACGCATAAATGTATAATATATTCACATTTTTGCTTGTGTGTTTTGTAGAAGAGGTCATCTTGGCGGATGATGAGAATGAAAATGAATATGATGGTATCAATTTCCTTTTTCTTTTCGAATGTAATATATAAATATGCATAAATGAATAGCTGAACTGTTGTGTTGTGGGTAAATGTATAAATATATTTGTACTGTATAACAGGTTCTCGTAGGAGAGCCACAAAGAACCACAAAAGCAAAGCTGAGCTTCTAAATTCAGAGGAAGGGGAGGGAGACCTGGGAGTAGGTAAGATGTGTTGTGTTTCTCTCTGTCTGTCTACCACACACACACACACACACACACACACACACACAACAAAGCCATTTTACATCCCCTCAGAGAACACTGCATTTACTTGTTTTGTTTTTTTCTGCAAAAGCTCCCAAACCCTACACATTTCTACCACAGCTCTTAGCCTAAACCTAACTTCATGATAATCTTGCTTTAAAACACACTTATTTCCCATTATGACTGTAAAAAGGAATTTATATCCCCACATTAAGAGTAGCACACAGGAGAAACAGACCCACAGTCAAAGGCAAATCGCAGGTACACAGAGATGCTATCTTATCTTGCATATCAGCATTACCTGACCCTCCTCTCCATCCCTCTCCCGCCCTTCCCTCTCCTTTCTCCCTCTCTGCTGCTCTGCACTCCTAATGTTACATTTTCACTGTCCTCGAGCCCCTCATCTTTTTTTCCCCTATCTTTAACTTGCCCTTGTTATCTCATTCCCGTTTCTCCGCTCAAACCATTTTTTCAGCACAGTCATTCTAGGCACTTCTCTAAGATTCTGAAAGCAAACTTTTTTTCTTCATTCTTTAGAGCAATAATGGACATGGTGCAACCTAGAAATTCAAAATTGATAAGGCAGCTTTGATCATGTGCTACCTTTAAGTGAATTATACATCAATTTGTACTTAAAAAGCAGATTCAGTGCCGAAAGGTTGATTGAATTGTAGTGTTCCAGCAAATAGAAGGTCCATCGATATAGTTGACTCTACTTTGGTAACTGTCCACTATAAAAGAATAACGCATTCTTTTACTCTCCTAATAAGTTACAGAAATAATGGGATGGGATCTTTTGCCTGTATTAAAAAAAAATACAGGCAAAAGATAGCATTAACATTTTAGTGCCAGTGATTGTGTCGCCTTTTTGGTCACTCATTGACTTCTTTTCATTTATGTCACAGTGCAGCTGTTGATACACGATGTACCTCATTTATCCTTTTTGAATGGTAGGTTCACCGTTTGCTCGTGCCAGCTTGAAGAGCTCCAAGCTGGAGGGATCGACTTTCAAGCGGCGGGAGCGGCGGTTTCGCTTCTTTATCCGTCATGTTGTTAAGTCCCAGGGCTTCTACTGGACCGTGCTGTGTTTGGTGGGCCTCAACACGCTGTGTGTGGCTGTTGTGCACTACGACCAGCCTGAACCACTTTCAGATTTTCTATGTGAGTAGGAGGTGAATGCTTGCATACTTAGTGCAAGTATGGGCCGATTATCTCCGCAAATGCACAAATACTTTCATCACAGATTATTGGAAAAGGAGTGGGTGAGCAAATTCTTCATTAATGTGGCTAAATCCATGAAAGAGCTGACCCAGTCGTTTAACACAAGCGCATCCAAGCACACACAGTTTTCCTCTCATGCAGACTAAGTCTTTTTCAAAAATGGTTCTGGGACGAATACACACACAGAGTCTCGCTCAGGTTTTCACCCTCATCTCTTTTTGTGTTCTTCCCTCTGTGCAGATTTTGCCGAATTCATCTTCCTGGGAATATTCTTGACAGAGATGTTTGTAAAACTGTACGGCCTGGGCAGACAGGCCTACCTCAACTCCTCCTTCAACTGCTTCGACTGCATTGTGAGCCCTTCTCAGCTTGGGTCCACACCCAATAAGAAAATAACACAATGTACAAACTCATAAGCGGGTCTATAGACGGACTTTACACCTGTGGGATGAAAACAATAGATGAAAAAAACCTCTGCTATAGACTTTACACAAACACAAATGTGCCATACTGCATGCTGATGTCTGTAGATTATTTGCTCAGTATAATAAATAACTATGTATAATTGCATATGCTTACATTTATATTAGGTGATATGTGGTAGCATATTTGAAGTCCTTTGGTCCATCATCCAACCGGGCACATCGTTTGGCATCAGTGTGCTACGAGCTCTCAGGTTATTGAGGATCTTCAAAGTCACCAAGTGAGTCACTTGTAATACAGTAATGATCATACATTAAAATAAAGGACATGGTATTATCATCATTTCCATGTGTCTGTTTCCCAGGTACTGGGCGTCTTTGCGTAACCTCGTCGTGTCTCTGCTCAATTCCATGAAGTCCATCATCAGCTTGCTCTTCCTGCTCTTCCTCTTCATAGTCGTCTTTGCGCTGCTGGGCATGCAGCTCTTCGGAGGACAGTCAGTGTCTCTCTCCTTCCCCTTTAACAGCCATGATTTAATTTTCTGCTAACCTATTGGTTTTTGCTAATTGCCAGTTGACCTAAGGCAGTTTTTCAGAGCGCTGGTTGTTCAGACAAACATTTGTTGTGCTTGCCTCTGGCTCTCTCAGTCGTTCTCTCTATGCTCACTGTTTTCTCAGCTCCTATTATATATATCTTTTTTTTCATTCTTTCACTGCTAGGTTTAATTTTGAAAGTGGCACCCCTCCAACCAACTTCGATACATTTCCCGCAGCAATAATGACGGTGTTCCAGGTAAGCAGAGGAGAGCGATGTACTGTAAAAGGAGAAAAGGGGAGGGAGAGGCTAGTGGAGGGAGAAAAAGCCGCAAAATCGAAGACAAAGCTGGATTAAAGCTAAACGCTGAAAGGACTAAAGAGGATTTGCTCACGAGGAAGTGATATAAAATGTAAAATGCTACTCTAGAACCCTTAAAGATTATTAGGTGGGAGCATAATTCTGCTAAAACATGTTCAAATATTTAAGTAGTGTGTAGAAAAGAGTCTGTTCTTTGATTATAGCATTTTGAGCAAATATGTGGATGTGAGAGTGCTCGTCATAGCATTGTCTGAATATTTGTGTATGTTTGCCAGATCCTGACCGGCGAGGACTGGAATATGGTGATGTATGATGGCATCAAATCTCAGGGTGGAGTCAACAAGGGCATGGCCTTCTCCGTCTTCTTCATTGTACTCACGCTTTTTGGCAACTGTATCCCTTGACAGTGACATTGCAGATAAGCCTACATGCATGCGCAGCTCTCAGATATTTAGAGTGGAGACATTTGTAGATGTGTTTTACACATTTTTACTTTACTCACAGTAAAAAGTCATACAAAGGTTAAATGCAGATTTTCTTTTACAGTTTTCTTTAGGACAGCCTCAAAGGTGGAATAGTTTAAATGCTTCTTCTACCTATTGCGGTTTGCTGTTGTTTTGTAGTTGCTGTTACTCTGAATAGAAGTGCTACTTTTTTTCTTAGCCTGACTTCCTTTAATCTTTTTTTTTTTTTTTGGCATATCGACATTGAAGCAATTAGTCTTGCATTGAAACATCGAGACATTGCACAGAAACCATCCGACAAACAACCTGCATGATGGTCTGCCTGAGAAGCTCAATTCACTGCAGGGGCCAGGCGCTCTCCAACGGTCACTTGCAAGAGCTTCAGTCAGTGTTGTATTTACTGTTTTATTCACTGACAACCTGTTCTTTGGCACAGCTGACAAAAGATCAAAGTGAGAACGTGTAAGAAAAAGAACAATCTCTGAGAAATAGTCATGCTTCTTTTATTCATGCTGGACTGAGGGCAGAGTCAGCTCTTCATCTTCAGCTACAGAGTCATATTATGTACAATCTCAGTTCTTCAAAGGTTTTGAAGCAGTGGACAAACCCATATATAACATGGAAAACATATTAATTGTTAAAACCGGGACATTTTACTGCTTTATAAAAAAAAATACTGGCTTGTTTTGAATTTGAAGGTGGCAACATGTCTCAAAAAAGTTGGGATGGGGCAACAAAAGGCTGGAAAAGCAAGTGGTCTAAAAAGAAACACCTCAAGGAGTTTGCACCCAGTTAGGTTCACTGGCAACAGGTCAGTAACATAATTGGGTGTAAAAAGAACATGTGAGAGAGTGAGAGAGTCTCTCAGAAATAAAGATGGGCAGAGGTTCACCAATCTGCAAAAACACTGTCAACAAATTGCAGAACAGTATTAGAAAACTTTTCCTGTAATAATGCAAAATTTTGAGTGCTTTGAATATCTGATCATATGCAGTGCATAATATCATGAAATACAGAATCCAGAGGAATCTCTGTGCACAAGGGACATGTTATGTAGCGCTGTGTGGAAACACAGGGAAGCACATAGCTGACAGAGAACCTAAATGCACACAGGATCATGAGAGGAAGGGAAACAGCAGGGAACACCGCTGGAATTAATACAGCCTAACAGGACAGGGAAGCAAAACCGAACACAGAGAACACAGGATGAGAGACTGTCAAAATAAGACAGGAAGTACGATAACACTTGACACTGGGAAGCAGACTAACTAAGGAGACAGAAAAGGAACACCGAACAGGAGAGGCATGGAAACAGAACCTAAAGACCAGATGTCAAAACTAAGACCAGAAACTACAAATATAACACAAATAAGAAAAACAACTAAAAGAACCAGAACCAGGAATATATACATTGAATCTTCGAATATTAAATAACCTGAAATGGATGCTCGCCTTCAGGTGGCACTGCATTGAAAACAGGCAGAATTCTGTGATTCTGTCAATCATTGCATGGGCTTGGGAACACTTCTAGAAATCCCTTTCTTTGCCACGCAGGTTAAACCTCTGTCAGGCACAGTTCATGATCTAGATTGCTAGCATTTTGTCAGTAATTAAAATAGTATATTTTCTCAGGTTAAACATTTGATATTTTCTTTGATATAAATAAAATGAGTGAATAAAATATGGGTTTTATTCGATTTTCAAACCACTGCATTCTGTTTTTATCTACATTTTGTACAACGTCCCAATTTTTCTGGAATTGGGATTATAAGTGATTGTCAACACGGAGATGTCACTGTCATAATCCTAATTGAGATTCTGATAAATCCACTGTCCTGGCATATACTGACACAGACCTGTGTTGTCATCTGTAAGTCGAACCACACACTGTTAAGGGATCTGTATCAAGGATGATACTGTAGCAATAATGATACGCTGCAATCCAATACATCAACTTGCCAAGAGGTACATTATAATATAAGTGGCTTAGCCAATTATTTTATCTACATTTTGTATTCTCTTGCACAAACAATCTCCCAGATGCTGGATTGCTTTTAACTCTGTGTTCAGACACTCTGCTGAATGTGTTCTTGGCCATCGCTGTGGACAATCTGGCCAATGCACAGGAACTGACCAAGGTATAGTACAGTCTAATATGAGTGCAGTTTCTTACACTAACACATTAACCACGAGTTATCCTCCTCTAATCAATGAACTTCTTCTGCTTCCCTCATGTGAATTTTTCCTGCCTTTATCATATTTGGGTTTTGATTTATTTTCTAATCCACATTTGCAGGATGAACAGGAAGAAGAGGAAGCTGCCAATCAGAAGATTGCCCTGCAGAAAGCCAAGGAAGTGGCTGAAGTTAGCCCACTATCTGCTGCAAACCTCTCCATTGCAGCGTGAGTCTCTGTCTCTATTACTTTTGTGTCACCATCTGGGAGTCTAGTACTTATGTCGGACTCAGCACTTTGGGAAGTGGACGGTATAGCACAGTTGAGTGTTTGAAGTCAGGAAAACCGTCAGTGAACCATAATCTGTTCAAGTTTGGATTCTTAAAACATCACTTCATCACCTTATGAACGTGTGGTGATGTTGGTGATTGCAAATAGTCTTTCATCACAATGAGCTTTATTGACTAATTACCCTTCAAAAGTACACAGCCCCACTTTTTTCTTAGAATTGCAATATATTCATTGATCAAATAGCATCTTCCAAACTGACTTTTTTCTGTTTCAATATAAAATTTAAAGTTCATGAATGTAAAAATCCTCTGTATATTTTGCCATTTTGTCATCATAGTGGAATAAATCATGTCTTCATCTATCTGGCAAGGAAAGGAAATTGGGGATAGCCTAAACACACATATACTTGCTTCTCGTCCTTCTCTCTGTCATCTCTTTCTTCTCCTTTACTTTTCGTCTTAGTCTTTGATCCCTTTTCTCTGTACACACAAGGCTCTGTACTTTCACGTCTGGTAAAGTTCACACACTTTGCTCTCAGATACAAATACGTGCATGAAAATACGTTCAGCACAACACAGGGGTACCATGTTTGCTTTTAAATATCATACGTAATAGCACAGTTGTGTCCTTAGCAGTTTGGTGTGTGAGACTGTGCTCACTCATTGTCACTCACAGGTACAATGAACAAACATGCCCTAGAGTTTTAGCTCAATACACTCACACGCACATATGCTTATTAACATTTCCATCATTTCATGAATCGCTTAGGTTCTTGTTACTGTTTGTGCCGTGTAGTGTGCTTCACTATGAAGTGACCATCTGTGTCTGTGTAATCAGTTTAATTTACTTGGAATTATGATATAAATATGTCTTATTTTCACTACAGTTTGTGTGTATCTGTCTGTGTGTGTGTGTGTGTGTGTGTGTGTGTGTGTGTGTGTGTGTGTGTGTGTGTGTGTGTGTGTGTGTGTGTGGATGTATGTGAGTGTGTGAGAAAAGAAGTTTTCAGGTAATGTCGGTTTGGTATTGTATCCAGCATTTCTTCTCTAGGTTACCATGGTTGTTTGTCCAAATTTATCCAGAAAAACAACCTTCACAAACCATGCTGCCTAATTGCTTGAATCTTTTGAAAGCAGACTGTAGGACAGAGGTTTACCATAGAGTCTCGGTTAAGCTTTAAGCATTTTTAGAGCTGCAGATTGCCTTACGTTCTACTGTGCCAGTGTAAATCCAAATCCCTAATTTCTGTGGTGCAAATAAAAGAAAGAGAGAGAGAGAGACACAAAAAGACATTTAAATTCAAGAGGAGATTGTCCCTGTTTTCCCAAGGAGGGATTTTAAACTTGGGGACATCAGTGGTGCATGAAGAATCTCTTAAGAAGATATGGCAGACTCAGAGAAAACTACGTAAAACCAGTTGTAAGGCAACACAAGTCCAGTTTGTACTCTCAAAAGGAAATTGCTCTCTCTTAAACAGCCATGCATTCTAAACGGAGTGCAAAGACATTTTAGGAAGTATTATTCTAATGATAGTGAATAATTTTTTTAAAAGTTTCAGCACTGTGTTTTTAATAAGCTTAAAGAAGCCTTTGGAAATAATAAAAATCATATTAAATTAGGTTGTCCTTATAGATTTGGTCCTTTAAATTATTAGCGTGCTATTTTGTGTTAGGAAGAGGATCATGCACAAATTCTGAATTCAGAAATAAATTCATGACCAAAATGTATCTACTTTTTTAAGTGCCCCTAACCCTCTTTAAGACAAAGCAGAGCATTTCATATTTAAAATGTTTATTTTTAAATCTTACTGTAAGCTTTTCAGGGTTTATCAGTTTTCAGTACAGGTCAAAACTATGCAGATATTGTTTTATGTTTTATTAAAATTTTAAAACATGTTGTCATAATGCCAGTGTATGTTGTCATGTAGGATATACCCACAGGACCATATTTTGGTAAGTATTTTTTTAATGTAGCAGCTTCAGTGGAAAAAGAGAGTGAAGGGTAAACATGTGCAGTACATTATAAAGAAGTAAAACTGATCAGCGCACAACAGCAGCACTTGGGAAGGGAAAATGAGTGATAGAAGAAAATGGATTTTGTTGAGTGTGTGTATGTGTCTTTTGTGTCTGTGTGTACGAAGGGTTGCATTCCAAAATGCTTAAATTTTTGACAAAAAATATTCTAAGATTCGCTTCCATTTTTGGATTTCAGGATTATAGTTTACTTTTTTAGTAGTTTAGACATGTAACACTTTTGTCGTGGATAGCGATAATTTTTTTTAGAGTTGGCACTTTGTGTTTTTTTTTCCTTTCTTTTAAAAAAATTAATGGATAGCCCATTTTGGAATGAAATCCTCCTTCTGTTCTTTTGTGTCATCTCACTCACCAGCTGTTTCCCTCCTCAGCAACAAAGTACACAGTGAGTGTCACAACGCTTCTGACCCCTTTCTGGACTGGTATTTATTTATTTGTTTATTCATTTATGACTTCCTTCTGTTTATTGACTTTACAACCATTCCTTGCTTTTTTCATGTTTTAGATCTCTATCCTTTTCTTGGCCCTTTGTTCGTAACATCTGTTTTTTTCAAAATTATTGCACATATCTGGCTTTTTTTTTTTTTTTTTTTTTTTTTTTAGCTTTTTCTTTATGTTGGCTTATTTTTTAAAGTACTGTTTCTGTTGCCTACGGCTGTTGCTTTATTGTCATTGACTGTTGGCCCTGAGAGAAAAGTGAGTTAAAGTTGGTAGAAATTTTGGAGGGTAAGAAAGGAGGTGGTCACTGACAGTTTAGGGGTGTTTTTTTTTATCTCATCTTTTTGCAAAAACAAGAAATCAGTTATTCTAACTAATATAAACCATTCAATTCAGCTCAATGGCTATTTTTGCTCTGCACGAAATCTGTCCATTAACTTGTATGTACTTTAGCATGGGATGATTAGTTGTGTATAATTTGAACAAATTCGGACCTCGCCTCAGTGTTATCCTCCACACTGTTTCCCACGTGGTTTACCAAAATAGGGCCATCCTGCCTTGTGCTTCGGCAAGCTGTGCAGATACCCAAAGCCCTGTTCTGTTAAGAGCTGCGTTGTTTTATAGGTCCAGTCAAATGACCCTTTAAGTGTCTGTGGCCCCCAGTGTGTCTTTATGTCCTTGCTATTTGATGTACTTATATTTTTAGTGTTGGTTTCCACTTCATCATTCTCATGTCTTTGTGCGTTCATTTGCATAGCATCAAGTCTTAAAGCAGGTCTTAACGAGGCCAATCCCTTTCTACCTTTTCCACCATGCTTCATTTTGCAGCAAGGAGCAGCAGAAGAACCACATTAAGGGAGTCAGCAAGTCAGTGTGGGAGCAGCGCACCAAGGAGCTGAGGAAGCAGACTCTGGCATCCAGCCGCGAGGCCCTCTATAACGAATTGGACGCAGATGACCGCTGGAAGGCAAGGACAGGGAGGGAGGAGCACAACAATGTAAAGGAAAAGGCAAAAAGGGCCCCTAGACTTGTGCTATCAGTGTACACAAGTTATGGCCACGAGTGTTGATGATGACTTTTATTGGTTTTCATTTGTTCTTGTTAATCATTTATCGGTGGCTTATTTACCAACTATGGTCTAAATATTGGTTGGAAATTTCCAATATATAACTGAAATGTAGGTCTTCTAAAGTTTTGCCTCCTCTCATGAATTACAAAATTTGAAATTATTCCTTCTGTCCTGTTTCGCTATCCATTCGTTTCCTTGCAGGTCAACTATTCACGTCACATCCGTCCAGACATGAAGACCCATCTTGATCGACCCTTAGTGGTGGACCCCCATGAAAATCGTAATAACAACACAAACAAGACAACTGGCAACAACTCAGACTTCTGTGTCAGCCAGCACCATCCTGAGCACCATGGCCAAGTGGGAGGGGATGGTGGAGGAGGTTCAGGTCCACCCAGACCCCCCATGGAGCGGGGAGAATCCACGGAGAGTAGACGGAGCCGCAAAAGTGAGCATCACCACAGCTCTCATGTCCGTCTGGATGCTACAGTGATTCCTGGGCCGGGTTCAGAGGAGAGGGTACCCAGGCGCCATCACCACACGCGGACTGGGAGTCGAGGAGGAGGGCAGTCCGAACACAGGAAGCCAAGGTCACATCGAAAGAATGCTGAAGATGGTGAGGAAGGTGGGGGAGGAGCTGGAAAATCTGGAAGACATAAGAGCAAAGGAGTGGATGGGAGTAGGGAAGGAGGAGAGCATGAGCGAGCAGGCAATGGCGGTGAGAAGAGGTCAAGAAGAAGCCGGCGTGGAAGCCAAACAGAGGGCGAGGGGAAGCGTATGTGCTCACACAGAAGGAAGTATGTCATTCATTTTTCGTTTTCCAGTCATCCTTTTTACAATCTCCTCTAATCTGATGGCTGTAATTCTTTCTTTGACCTCTTCCTAGGGACTGCAGTGTCCCAAACCTTTCTACCACACGGCCCATCCAAAAGAGTCTCTCAAGGCAGAATAGCCAGTACAGTGAGGACATGGACAACCTCATGAACACCAAACTGGTGTCTGGTTCTACACCACCTAGCGAGGGTCGCCCCTATCCAGTGGCCAGTCACACTGTCACCCCTGGATTTGGATCTGCCCTTCATCTTGCTAACAGTGGCACTCGTGGAAGTTTGGTCACGTTGGATAGTTATGGGAATGTCGGACATCACCGTGCAAACAGTGTGATCAGGCTGCCCCACCCTGATTATACTGCTGTGGACATGCCCATTTTTCCATCCACCAATGCCATACTGCAAGGTAGGGGTGAATGGATGTGTTTTTCTTTTCTTTTGTATTTCTTCTGCTACTTTATAGCTCTTTACAATGTTTTCCTCCTACCTTCAGTTAATAAAAATGCCAACACTGAACCTCTGCCAAATCCTACAAATGATGATGAGGAAGGAGGGGAAGGAGGGCCTAGGCCCATGCCTCCATATAGCTCCATGTTCATCTTCTCGACCACCAATCCGTAAGTGATACGTACTAACAATTACCAATGCACAGGCTAGCACACGTAGTATATGCACAAATTGCAAACTGAAACACACTGTCTCATAATTAACAGTTAACCATATAAACCTTTGGCTAAATCCCTATCCTAATGAGGACACATCTGTCCTTAAGTGTGAACACAAAGTCAGCAACACAAAGCAAAAATGAAAACCAGCCCAAAGAGACTTGAAAGCATGAGAAACATGAACAGGTCAAAACAGAGGCTGCAAGCCTGACTGCTGATCACTGCTTTTGTTACTTGTTGAAGTTCAGGCTCTGGCTGCTGGGCTGGGGTCAACATGCACTCAGCTTTATCATCATTCTTGGCTAGCTTTGCGTTAGCATGCTGTCTGTGCAGATGTTTGCAAAGAGATGAAGCAGTACAATACTATAATGGATGCAGTTTCCATTTTACCTTCACGCTCTTGTCCTTTTGTGCAGTGAAAAAAAGTAATGTCCATATCTCCGCTCCTCTAATGCTGTATAGCTGTTTTCTGTTGCCTACACTTTGCACAGTCAAAAGTCAGCTTTATTGTAGTTGACTTTTGATCCAAAAGTATGAGATAAAGTTGATTGTTGGTATAATATTTTGAGGGTAGGGAAGGATGTAGTTAGTGTCTAGACAGCTACTCTTGCCTCTTTAGTTAATTTGATGCAGTTTGGTGTGGATTTAGCAGTCTATTAAATTGTCTGTACCTTACAATGGTTTGCCCAATGGATGGGAAATGGAGGCATGAACCACATATCAGTTATCTGATCCTGATAGCAACACCAGAAACCAAGAAAAGACTGCCATTGCCCGGCCACTGACAAACTGATGGATTCCCAGATTGATATTTGGGTAAACCCTGCTTTACTTTAGCTTTTCTACTGTGGTCGCACAATTTCCCACAGTGCTGATGGAAAGATTGACTTGCCTGTCACTATCTCAAAAACTATTTCAAATGAAGCTCAATCATAATGTCATGTATTCTAGACTGTGCTGGCATAGCATGAAAAGAGGTCATTTGCTAAAATTTGTTGAAGACACAAAGCCTAATTTTAGCAAATGAGCAGGTCTAGTTTGTGTAAACATTAACACAGAGCTGTTTAAACATTAGTTGAGTATTTGAGAGGGATTTAAATTTTGTTTAGCCTCCACAATGGCCTTCATTATAGTTATAAATTAAACATAATGGTATGCATTGCATTAATGCAAGAGAAAAACAAATATCTTTGTCTGCTCCTAGGTTTCGACGAGCATGCCATTACATTTGCACCCTGCGTTATTTTGAGATGTGCATCCTGCTGGTCATTGCAATGAGCAGTATTGCCCTGGCAGCTGAAGACCCTGTTTGGCCCAATTCCCCTCGAAACGATGTAAGAAATTCATCATACATGTATTATTGGTTCTTTTGGCAACAAAAATATTATGCATATAATTTATCTATTAGTTTTTGTATTTACTCTCAAGGTTATTTTTGCCATCTCCCAAGCCTTACGTGCGTGGAGGTCTGAGCAGTAAATGAATTAACTATATAGAGTATGAGATAGAACATATAAATCCAGCACTTAAAATGATTATTGACAGTTTTATAGTGGGTAGACAATTAAGTGGCACACACAATATTCAGGATTTTCTGTGTTCAGACTCAGCAAAATGATACGAACTCACAGACCACACATGCACAGGAAACAGTTGAAGTTTAAAGTACTGCCTTCTTTAGTAATATAATATCAGATGATGCAAAATAAGTGCAACACTGCACTTATCTAAAATACAAAATCATCATATGCTCACTTTTTCTTTGTGCAGGTTCTGCGCTATTTTGACTACGTCTTTACAGGAGTTTTTACTTTTGAGATGTTAGTAAAGGTGAGACAAATCAGCATTTTTCCTCCGTGTTGAGACAAACATTCTCCTCTTTTTGATAAAGGCTGTAATGGGTCCTTGTTTTTGGTCTCTTTTCTAGATGGTGGATCTGGGGTTGGTCTTGCACCAGGGCTCTTATTTCCGGGACTTGTGGAACATCCTTGACTTTATAGTGGTTAGTGGTGCTCTGGTGGCCTACGCCTACGCCTTAGCGTAAGTCTCCCTCCTGCTTCCCCCTCTGCTCTCTTTTCTCCTCTCCCGCTCCTCTCCCCTCTCACTGGTACCTTGGAGTACAGCGTCCCCTGTTCTTCTTCACTCAACCATGGCTGATTTTTGGCCTCTACTTTCTCTATCCTACACACTTTTCTTTCATTCATTCGCATACATTTTCTCTCTTGGCACTTTTTCATTCTCTTGTGTCCTGTTATCCTCCACCATAAACCCAAGTCTTACCTTTATTTAGAGTGCAAAAGACCTGTCCTCTTTTTTTGGCCATGTCCTTACTTCATTTCTCTCACGTTCACATTTTGCTCCTGCAGTCCTTTAATTTTTAAGCTCCTCCTATTTCAAGCTCCTTCCAGCTTCTGCGTAAACACTCCCACATTATAAAATAGATCCCAGCATCCTCTCCCTATCTACCTCCCCATGTGAGAGGTGAGGACCACCCTTTGCACCTGTAACCCTTTAGTGCCCAGGGCGTTCTAAAGTAAAAGGGCCCATGCAAACCCCGGCCAGGTCACCAAAATTCTCAACTACGTTCTCTACTACAAAGCAGGTACTTTAATCTTTACTTGATTTGCATGGCTGTAAAGATAAAAATACAACTACATGTTGATTACTGAGTTAGGCTGTAGATAATAAGTGCTATGCTGGTACAAAGCATGAATTTTGCTTTTGCATGGTATGTGAGAATATAAAGCAATTTATAGATTTAGAAGTCTGCATTAATGTGATGTCATGTTTTGGATATAATATATACACATATATGTAGATATTAGGGGTGCAACGATACACAAAATTCACAGTTCGGTTCGGGTCGATGCTTTGGTGTCACGGTTCGATATTTTTTCGATACAAAAAAATGTTCATGCCTTTTTAATTTGTCATTTATTAAAATTATAAATATATATTTATATCGCCTCTTTCAGTGCGCCCCAGGGTGGCTGTGGCTACAATGTAGCTTGCCATCACCAGTGTGTGAATATGTGTGTGAATGGGTGGATGACTGGATATGTAAAGCGCTTTGGGGTCCTTAGGGACTAGTAAAGCGCTATATAAATACAGGCCATTTACCATTTACCATATTTTAACTCAAAAGTACAGTTTTTAAATTTAATGTTGCTGAAACAACAAAATAATAATAATAAAAATATCTATCTGATCGAGAAATCACTCATCTTTGGAAAAGAGAGTTTATAACAGAGAAATGGCTCTTTTCAAAATAAAAGCTATACTATATGCTTCTTCTGGGCTATATTCTCAGCAGCATATTAAACATATCAGGTCCCCATAAGGAGAATCATGTGCTCTGTCTAAATGATCCGGGTAAAGTTTGTAGCATGTGTGCTTGTTGTTTTTGTCTGCTTCCACTTGTCTTTGCACTAGGATGATGTCGGCGTAAATGTGCAGTCATATTTGGTGTGTTCCCACTGGTGCTGTCAGCGTTAATCTCGTTAAAATGACATTAACGCCATAACGCGGCAAATCTCCGTTAACAAGTTACCATTGATCGCCCCGTGCGTGGGGCTGGATGGCGTTAACACGTTAACAAGCTAACTGTGCTAACGCACTAGTTCCCACAAATTGAGCATTGCGTGGCACATCCGACATACTGTTTTACTTTTGTCCATGACGTGCTTACCATCAGGGTCATGCTTCACATGAAAACCAAGATAGTACCAAACGCCAGCTCTGAATGAGGGTGGGGGAGGTTCAATTTCGGGTAGCGTTAAGGCAGTTGCCATGTTGCAACGAGCTTAGCTTCTGTCTTGCTAGCTTGCGCTGCGCTCAGTGGATTTGCACTCGACAGTGCAGCCTAGGCGGAGTAGTCGAACGCAGATCCACTGAGCGCTCAACACAGACAGCATGGTCAGAAGAAAAGTTGATAAAATAAATAAAAAATTTTGTATTGTTCGATACATATGCATACCGAACCGAAAGCACTGTATCGAACGGTTCAATATCGATACGAGTATTGTTGCACCCCTAGTAGATATGTTTCCGCATAATATATTTGTGCTCTCAAATTAATGATAATGATATACCATAGATTTTTACACAGGTCTGCAATATGTGAAGACACTGGATATTGTTTTTACTGTGGAAGTGACTGAAAGCAAACCTACATAGCTTAAACTGCTATGAGCTTTTGGACACTTGGATTATAAGGCACCTAGCATTCATCTGTGTTGGGTCATTGAAGTTGGTGGACTTGGAGCCTCTTGGATGGAGGATGCTCTGCTCATTTTAACTTAAACACCAGTAACATACACTTATGGACAAAAGTTTTGGGCTTCACACTCTTTTAACTACAGCTTTTGCCACAGATCAGGCACCTAGCCATACAGTCTGCCTTTACAAACATTTGTTGTTCTAAAGAGTTCAGTGAATGTAAGCATGGTGATAATATAAGACACCATACCTACAACAAGTCAGTTCATGAACTTTCTTCCCTTTTAAATATTCCACAGTCAACCATAACTGGTATTATTGCAAAATGGACCACAACCACAATATGGCAGACCTTACAAAAGTTACAAAGCAGGGTTAGGCAGGTACACAGTGTAGAAAAGTCACCAACGCACTGCTGCAGAGTTCCCAACCTCCTCTGAATTTAACAACAACACAAAAACTATGAATTAGGAGCTTCATAGTATGGGTTTCCAGGCTGAGCAGCTCCTGTAAGTGTAAATAGATACAGAATTTGTATTAATCCGAATATATTTGACAGTTTTATTTAAACTGAACTGAAATGAGAAACTTTCAGAGACTCTGTGAGTGTGGTCTGTATCTAACCACTTGAGGTCTTCGATTAATATACTGCAAATTAATATGGGAATAGCTAAGTGATACAAATAAATTAATACATTTTGAACTTTTGACTTTATACCTCTCTGACCTGTCTTCCCCATGTGATGTTTGTATAATGTATGTATGGTCAGAAGGGTAAGTCGGCGCTGGCAAAGGTCGGCAGCCTTAACCCAATTTCCTTCGGGGTCAACCTTCAGGATCAATAAAGTTTTATTGAATTGAATTGAATAAAACTGACACTTGAGTAATGACTTGAACTAAAGATGACACCTTGGATTTTCATAGTCCCAGAATGATATCTTGTGACGTTGTCCCCTCAGATCTCCTCAAACAGTTGGGGGTTTTTTGCGGTCCTAATGACCCATCTTTTATGCCACCTTTACTGAACTGCTCCTCCTCTGCACTTTGTGTCCATTCTTCCACCTCTTTTTATCATACATCACGACGACACTCAAAATGTACTTAGTTTTCTCATCATTCTGGTCTTGGAAAAGTCTGTGAAACAGTGCACTTTCACGGGTATTTCTCCAGATATACCGAAGAAAATATTCTGCACGCTTAAATGAAGAAATAGGCTTTTTTTGTCATTCGGTATTTTGTTTACTGAAATTAATGAGAGTCTCTGGAACTATGGCAAAAATGTTAGAAATTTTGGCACGGTCACTGGGAATAGTCGTGAATTATTTCACCAAGATTCAGGTCTGTGCCTTCAGCAGTCTATCCCCACCAGTGGGTAAGAGTTAAACCCAACAAGTTACCAATAATCTCAACTAATAAAAACCTTCCAGCTTTCAAATGCTGCTATGCTAAAATAGTTTTGGTTTAATCTAACATAAACTAGGTTGTCCAGCTTATCTGCTCACTTTATAACTATGCCGTAGTACATTGTTAAAGTCCAGCTGAATTAAGAACTCATGAACATGGCAGGTGCTCCACGGTTCTGGTAGAGGTGATCCATTGTCAAGACGTTCACTCTTTGTGAATCATCTTTATATGTGTGTGTGTTTTAACCAACACTCTTTCCCCTCATTTTAGTTGAATTTGTGTCTCTCTGTTTGTATATACAGAGATCTTTGTCTCCACCTTTTCTGTGTGTCCCAACCTCTTTCTGTTTCACTGCTGAATTTTCTTTCTCTGTGTATCTTCTCTGCAAGACCAAATTCATCCAGTGGAAATGTTGAGTATGAATTATAATGTAGCCTTAATCTGAAGAAAACGAACAAACAAGCCCAATTTGACTATAGTAGAGGTTTATCATGCTAATGGCTGATGGGAGATCGGAACCAGTAAGAAAAGATTCCTACCCATCCAGATAGTACCTTAATTCAATTGGTGAAATCAAACAGCACTCCTGAAGCGATCAGAAGTCTTGTTGGAGATGTTTATCACTCCCTTAATCAAATTATTCTGGTCTGAGGGCTGCTGTGTCTTGGACCACTTATGCAGCTGTCCTTCATATTTCTGCAGTCAGACTGAGGTTCAGATCCAGACAGGCTCAGAGTCAGAGATGATGACTAATCAAGTTTGGTTTGCCTTGAAGCGCACGTTGACATTCTAAGATGGTTTTTTTCACCAGGTAGTGTTTACTCTGCTATGTGCCTGAAATGAGTTTATATGTGGGCTTGCTGGTCCTTAATAATAGTAATTTGAATATTTAATTGTTAATCATGACGTTTTACACATTAGATCATTTTCAGAGTAGCACTAGTTACCATTTGAAATCTTGCACACTCATCAAGCAGTTTTGTTTTTTGTTTTTTTTGGGGGGGGCTAAATTGTGAATGTAAGAGATTATCTGAATGTGTGAGTAGGTTGGTTGATCTAACAAGAGAAGGTACTGTCTTTTCTTTTTTCCCCTTTCTCTCTCTCATATGGATGTTTCCCTCAAAATCCTTCCTTTTCTGTGTCCCATTCTGTTTCTTTATCCCACCTTGTCTCCTCTGTCTTGTTGTTCTCACCTCTTACTCATATCTCTCTTCGGACTACGAGCAGCAGCGGCAGCGGGTAAAGTTCTCTCACTTTTTCCTCCTCATTTTCTTCTTCTGCACTCTTGGTATCTGTTTCTCTGATCACACATCTCTTTCCTTCTCATTCATCCATTGTCAAAGTTGAAATGTGTATCTGTCTATATTATTTTTCTTTTTTTTTTTAAATCCATTGTTCACCATGGAACAACTCGGACTCAAACCCAACTAAACCTCATCTTAACTTCTGTCAGGTCCTCAGCTGATTCACACAGATGCAAAGGAGATATTTGTGCTTTAATTGCAGGTTTTTCCACACATTTTTATTTCAACAAATATGGATATGAACATGATCAAGAAAGAAACTTTTAACCAAAGATGGATAAAAACACAGACACAGTGATTTGCATACACACACACACACACACTCATGCAGATACACACATTAGTGGTGGTTGTGTGCAAATACACACACAGCCACCACCAGTCTGCCATCTGGTCTAACAGCTGTAAGACACAGGCAGCTGTATACACAGCTGCTGCCCCCCTAAGGATCACTTTCAGTGACCTCTTCACCCTGATCTGTACACTGGATATGTGAGGATTTGTTCAAATCAGGGCATTTGAATTACAGTCAAATTTTCTATTAAACTAATCGCAGCCAGTTTACATAAAGTCAGCATCAGTTAACTCCTGCATTGTTTCTTTAGGCTCCTGCAGCCTTGTACACAGTGCCAGCCCAAATCCAGTATTTGACATGTCTAGATTACAGAAACCTATTCAGAAAGTTTGGACAACAACACCTTTCACCTTGGAAGCTATAGCAAGTAGCTAGGGATCTTAAGCTACTTGCTATAGCTAGAGAGATACCTATGGCGTTACCACAGAAACCCATAAAGATAGGTTGGTAATGTCTGGAAGCACAAATCCGACTGTAACACTTGAAGATAAGGAAAGTCTGATCACAACATCTGATTTAAGGAACAAATCTGCCATGTCTTCAGTCTGAACATAGCCTTTGAGGTCTATTATAATTTAACACTCTATGGCATATGTGCCTGGACAGTTACACTGCCAAAGTGAAAAAAACAAAGAGAGGTTTGGCTCAGCATTTCATTGGGAAATGCTTTATAAAATCTTTGTCTTGGCCAAAAACCATGCAAGACAAGATTCCATGCTGTCTGAACAATGCTGTGAAACAAGCTAATCCTGGAGCTTATAGAAATTAACTAGATGAGTCATCAAGAGAGAGTTTGGCTGTTCATTTAAAATTTTTTTCCCATTTTTAAGCACAACGACACTACCAAATTGTGGCATATGCTTGAAATTGAAGGCATTTTGAAAATGTGTTAAAACTTTTAACGCATTTACGGTGACGAGCAGAAGAGCCCCTTGCTTTGCTCCTCTTACTCAACTGCCCTACGACAGAATACAATTTTGTTCTCGCTGAGACTACAGCTAAACTCTCTCTCTCTAAATGTCTCTCTATAGAATAAATTTCTCCACCCCTCAAACTGCTGCTTAAAAGAAGAAATACTGCAGCATGGAAAGCAAGGTTTCAATGCAGCATGAACAGATTTCACCATTAACTGCGCATGGGCAAACTGAGGCTTTAGTGTTTTTGAAAGGCATTGAAATACATTGCAAAACACTACACAAGGGAGATAGCATTCAGACAGGAATGATATCAGTTGTTCCCATAGCATGTACTCTAGTTATAAATCCCCACCTAATTCTAGCATGTAGCTACGATGTTATCCTCACACTTAGGAATAAGGCTAAAGCGTAATCTGATAGCAATGCTGCATGTGTTGCTATGCACTTAACCCAGACGTAGTTACTCATTGATTTTGAGTTAACTCGGACACACATGCCATCAAGAAATGGCTGCCCATCGCCATTTTGGAATCGAGAGGACTAAGGCTTTCATGTGCTGCGTATACTAAGTCTGCTGAGACTTGTAACTTTCACTCTCCTGTGTGTACATGTATGTCTTCTTTGTTTTTGGTGTGTAAACACGTGTAGGGGGAACAGCAAGGGAAAAGACATCAGCACCATCAAGTCGCTGAGGGTACTGAGAGTGCTACGACCTCTAAAGACTATTAAACGACTTCCCAAACTCAAGGTACGGTTGCGCAGCAAAGAGACTCCATTACTTATATTTCACTTTTACACAGATTATTGATGAAATCTACCTTAAGGTAAGTACAACAACCAAGAAAATTATACAAATTACACCCTGATCTACCATCATCTATTATTCTTTAACCCCCCCCCCCTAATATTATGTTGTTCTCTTGCTTTGTCCTCAGGCTGTGTTTGACTGTGTGGTGAACTCTCTGAAGAATGTGCTCAACATCCTGATCGTCTATTTACTCTTCATGTTCATCTTTGCTGTGGTTGCTGTGCAGCTCTTCAAGGGGCGTTTTTTTTACTGCACTGATGAATCCAAAGAATTTGAGCGCGACTGCAGGTCAGGAAAAAAAACCCAACTCCTTTCACCTTGCGCTGTGAAAATGTCCTGGTGACCTGCATAACTTTTGGTTTAATCCTTAAAGATTAAAGTGTCTCCTCTCCATCCTCTGTGTCATACCTAATGCAAACGTTTATAAGTTTTTTTTGCTTTCAGTCCTTGTGCTGATTCTGTGTTTTTCAGAGGCGAGTATCTGGTGTACGAACGTGATAACGAAGTGAGGGCGCAGAAGCGGGAGTGGAAGAAGTACGATTTCCACTACGACAATGTGGCTTGGGCCCTTCTCACCCTCTTCACTGTCTCTACTGGAGAGGGGTGGCCGCAGTGAGTAGCCTATATGTGAATATATTCATTCATAAATAGAGCAAGTGTGGATATTGACAACCTCTAACAATACTTCAATGTCACTTCAGGGTGCTGAAACACTCGGTCGATGCGACTTACGAGAATCAGGGCCCAAGTCCAGGATACAGGATGGAGATGTCCATCTTTTACGTGGTGTACTTCGTGGTCTTCCCCTTCTTCTTCGTCAACATCTTCGTAGCTCTCATTATCATCACCTTCCAGGAACAAGGCGACAAGATGATGGAAGATTACAGTTTAGAAAAGAATGAGGTGAGCAAGGATTCCGAAACTGGAGCGTTGCATGATGGAAAGGCACGATGCAAACCGAAAATGTCTTTTTCTGCTGTTTTTGACAGAGAGCCTGTATAGACTTTGCCATCAACGCCAAGCCTCTGACACGCCACATGCCACAAAACAAGCTAAGCTTTCAGTACCGTATGTGGGAGTTTGTGGTGTCACCGCCATTTGAGTATACCATCATGGCGATGATCGCGCTCAACACAATCGTGCTGATGATGAAGGTAAAGGCCTGCAAGCTCCAAACAAGGAATAAGTAACGCACAGAACAACATAAACACCAAGACAGCCACCGAGTTGCTGAACTTAACGTCTAAATTTATACCATTAGCTCTTGTTGCCTGCGCCTTAAAAAAAAAATACAAGCAGCCTTTACTAGTCTGGAATGATTCAAATACTTCTGCTTTTCTGAGAGAGGTACTGCCTATGTGTGTTTTTGTTTACAGTATTACGGAGCCTCCGACACCTATGAAGCTGTGTTAGCCAACCTGAACATAGTGTTTACTTCCCTCTTCTCCATGGAGTGTGTACTCAAGATCATCGCCTTTGGAGCACTGGTGAGTATTTCTGGGTTTATGTGTGGCGACGATGTACTGCTCTGTAAAAATACGAGAAGCCAATAAGAACATATATACATATTTATTTTCATGCCTTTTTTCTGTATTGAATGAATTTTACCATTTAAAATGAACAGAATGCCCATATACTAAACAAAACAAAAAACTGAAAAAGTTTACAGCCAAAAACAGCTCTTCATCTGGGCCTGACTTTCAACTAGATTACCCCGTATCCCCCACTTTCTCCACCAATCTATGTATTACACTGTCTAATGCTATTCGGATTGTTGGCAATAATCAAATGATTTGTTTTTCAGTTACAAAACCAAAAATTTAAACAAATCAGAAGCTACAAAAAATCAGTGATAAAGTTATTTTACCGGCAAAAGATGCAGATGAGAGAAAAAAGTACAGACGAGATAGTTTGACAATGAATGGGAGGTGATAAAGGACAGAGGTGGGATTATAATATATTAACTGAAAAAATGAAAGTGAGTGACATATAGGCGGCCAAAAGAGAAGCAAAGATTAGAGAGCGGGTGGTGAGTAGACAGCATCAGCTCTGATTCATGGATAAACTTATGTACGTATTAGGCATGTCGTAAGCACACATAATCCCAGCCCTCAGAGATATTAGTGTCCGTGTGTGTGTATGTGCGTGCGTGTGTGTGTGTGTGTCAAAGTGGTTTATTTTAATATCCGCCTCCCTTGCTCTCCCCTGGTCCTTCCACTTGTCTAATGCACAATTTGGCTCCAGGCAATATGTGGGTAAGCAAAGAAGCAGAGGCTTATTAGCATTTTGTCCCGAGTATTACATGACTCGTTGCTTTGAGTGTCCCCACTTATTGAAAGAATGCTTTAGAAAATCTCTAATCAAATATAGATTGAAATTTTTTTTGCATATATATCTATAAATGGAAGGCTATAATAGAATTTTTAAAAGTTTTTGAAACTGAAATAAATTCAAATTGGTTTTTGCTGTACTGTATGTGTTGTTTGATGGATGTTATAGTCTTGTGATGCAGTACAATGTGTCCCTGGTGTGCTGGTATCTTTCCAGCTTCCCTTCACTGATGGTCAATTTGTCTCATCTAATTTCTTTCCTGTTCCTGTCCTACACTGACATTTGTTTTCTTCCACTTTCTTGTTCCCCTTCTGTATTTTTCTGTCCTTGTCTCATTTTCTAATTCTTTACTTCTTACTTTTTTTTCTCCTTGGTATGGTTTTTCATTTAAATATGACTTATACATCCTTTTGCTTGTTATTTTCATGTGATCTGTCTGCGCTCCATCCCATTGCGTTGCTCAATTTCTCTGTCAATCTTTATCTCTTCCCCTCCTTACTCTTTGTCTGCTTCCTTGCCACATCAATGTTCTTCTGCTTTTTACTGTGTCACTCTTGCCTCATGTCACCTCATATCCTCCTTTTTTCTCCTTTATCCTGCTCGTTGTTCTTCTCTGTCCCTGTCTCGTCTCTTCTTCTTTCTCTCGCTTTCTTGTACTTCTTTTTTCCCTCTCTCTTATGCTGATCACAGAATTATTTCAAAGATGCCTGGAATATTTTTGACTGTGTGACAGTTCTGGGCAGCATTACAGACATCCTCGTTACTGAGCTTGGGGTAAGTACCAGATTTTGAGGTGTCTGTGTACAGATGTTTATGTTTTACACTCCTGTATTGAAAAGTCAAACTGGAAGCAAACAGATGTGATATTACATTAGCATGTTTCTTTCTTAAACAGGTATGACTGAGGTATGTTTGGTGAACTTCAGAATGTGTTTGTGGACTTTCACATCTGCCTCACCATCTAAAAAACATTAAGTAGACAAGACAAGGAGTAAGGAGAGAGCATGAGTTAGAGGCCAGTGTTGAGTTGCTCAGTCATGCATGAGCATCTCTTGAAAGTCTTATATAATTGTCCCAGTTGGTGGGATGGGAATACAGCCAACCAGTGCCGAGCCACTGACAGGCAGGAAGGCAGGAAGCATGCTGATTACCTATAGTGAGCCATAGCCTCTCCAAGCAGCCTTTTAGTTTATTATAATATTAGGGTGGTCAGTGGGTGCATCATTTTGCAACTGCATCAGAAGTACCTGAAACAACAACAGCATCAACAACATTATGGGTATATTAAGATCAATGATGAATGAGTGCCCTAGATTTGGTGTGCAGCATTACATTTTTGCTAAATATTGCACCAAATTGCCTGTAATGACACGCTGAACCAAGTAAACAAAATGAGTTAATTCAGTTTATTTAGGACCTGCATTCAGATTTTTCAAATGTTGTATTACCTCACTATGTCCATTAAGGAGATGAAATTGTGTGTCAGTGCATTTATTATGTGATGCATGAAACTGGGTTGAGCATCATTTGTGAAACACTTGTTCAATCCTAAAAATCTATTTAAACGTGACATTGTTATTTTCAGATGCCGTACAGCTGTATATGTAGGCAATGCAAAGTTGTTGAGGTGGTGTGTTTAGATAGTTATTGACAATCTGAGACAAAGAACCCCAAAAATAGTACATTTGTATAAATCTACATACAGAAGGTAATCAGAGAGACTCAACCTAAAGCTAATATTTGAAGGTTGGTACAAATGTTCTTTGTATATTGTTGGGACATATTTTAAGAAAAGACTCTTGTTGCGTAAGAAGTAAACTCTGAATAACAGATGGTATTGATAGGAATACAAGGAGTGCAGAATTATTAGGCAAATGAGTATTTTGTCCACATCATCCTCTTCATGCATGTTGTCTTACTCCAAGCTGTATAGGCTCGAAAGCCTACTACCAATTAAGCATATTAGGTGATGTGCATCTCTGTAATGAGAAGGGGTGTGGTCTAATGACATCAACACCCTATATCAGGTGTGCATAATTATTAGGCAACGTCCTTTCCTTTGGCAAAATGGGTCAAAAGAAGGACTTGACAGGCTCAGAAAAGTCAAAAATAGTGAGATATCTTGCAGAGGGATGCAGCAGTCTCAAAATTGCAAAGCTTCTGAAGCGTGATCATCGAACAATCAAGCGTTTCATTCAAAATAGTCAACAGGGTCGCAAGAAGCGTGTGGAAAAACCAAGGTGCAAAATAACTGCCCATGAACTGAGAAAAGTCAAGCGTGCAGCTGCCAAGATGCCACTTGCCACCAGTTTGGCCATATTTCAGAGCTGCAACATCACTGGAGTGCCCAAAAGCACAAGGTGTGCAATACTCAGAGACATGGCCAAGGTAAGAAAGGCTGAAAGACGACCACCACTGAACAAGACACACAAGCTGAAACGTCAAGACTGATGAAATGAGAGTGAGTCTTGATGGGCCAGATGGATGGGCCCGTGGCTGGATTGGTAAAGGGCAGAGAGCTCCAGTCCGACTCAGACGCCAGCAAGGTGGAGGTGGAGTACTGGTTTGGGCTGGTATCATCAAAGATGAGCTTGTGGGGCCTTTTCGGGTTGAGGATGGAGTCAAGCTCAACTCCCAGTCCTACTGCCAGTTTCTGGAAGACACCTTCTTCAAGCAGTGGTACAGGAAGAAGTCTGCATCCTTCAAGAAAAACATGATTTTCATGCAGGACAATGCTCCATCACACGCGTCCAAGTACTCCACAGCGTGGCTGGCAAGAAAGGGTATAAAAGAAGAAAAACTAATGACATGGCCTCCTTGTTCACCTGATCTGAACCCCATTGAGAACCTGTGGTCCATCATCAAATGTGAGATTTACAAGGAGGGAAAACAGTACACCTCTCTGAACAGTGTCTGGGAGGCTGTGGTTGCTGCTGCACGCAATGTTGATGGTGAACAGATCAAAACACTGACAGAATCCATGGATGGCAGGCTTTTGAGTGTCCTTGCAAAGAAAGGTGGCTATATTGGTCGCTGATTTGTTTTTGTTTTGTTTTTGAATGTCAGAAATGTATATTTGTGAATGTGGAGATGTTATATTGGTTTCACTGGTAAAAATAAATAATTGAAATGGGTATATATTTGTTTTTTGTTAAGTTGCCTAATAATTATGCACAGTAATAGTCACCTGCACACACAGATATCCCCCTAAAATAGCTAAAACTAAAAACAAACTAAAAACTACTTCCAAAAACATTCAGCTTTGATATTAATGAGTTTTTTGGGTTCATTGAGAACATGGTTGTTGTTCAATAATAAAATTATTCCTCAAAAATACAACTTGCCTAATAATTCTGCACTCCCTGTACATAATCTGTATTTAGGAGATGAAGTCATTTCTTGGACAGAATTAATTTAAGAAGAAATTCAAAAACTATCCCCAATAATGTTGAAGTCAGAGTTGTAGAGTATTTGCAGCTGTAACCAAGAATCAAGAGCCAATGTAACAATTACTACTGAAAGGCTTTTCTCTCTTTTTTTAAACAATTTATAATAATGCAATATAAGCTGTAATAAGTGGAGGCTATGTGCTCTGTATATTTCTTGCCTCAACCACGTGGAAAATCCACCTACATTGCAAACATTACATTATTATAACCACCTCTGCTCTTCTTTGACAGTTGCATCATTACTATATATCACATGACTTTGGCAGTCAGTCCTATTGGGTGGTGTATGAGTTTTTGGTTACCTTGTATGTGGGTCACATCTTAGTACTGTAGCTTGCTTCATTAGAAAGGTTGAGAATTAGTGCCTTTCAAAGAGATGCCCTGTTGTCTCTCCACTCTAATGCCTCACCAATCTTACCATTATTATAAAAATATAGATCCCAATTGATTGAGTATGGTTAGATGATTTCCTCTCCCCTGTGTTGTATTGTTTGTTTCTACCTGCCTGGATAGGAAAATCTTCTTTTTCTGAGTTTGGTTTGATTTGACTTGTTTAGCTCTTGATTATTATTATTATTTTTTTATTTATTTATTAGTTTATTTATTTATTAATTGGTACAGAGCGTGAATCTTTGTTCATTTGGTCTTGATTATTTCTACTCAAGATTTTATTCACTTATGTATCGACATACAGTCATGGATTTTTAGAATCCATGTATTTTCTTTTTTCATGCTGCCTTGATTCTTGGTATCAGCATTATGAATGTGTAAAATCTACAGACACTTACCTTTGTGCTAATTTCTCTTTGAATGACTGTTGATTTCTTTCTTGTTTTTATCTTTTCACATGCTTTCTTTAAATCGTCCTCAAACTTAACGACGATCTACTGTAATCTACTTCTCCAATCCCCTTCTCCCCTCAACACCTACTACTTGCTGTGATTCCATCCAATCAAAATGCACTATGATTCCTCTGTGTCCACCCATGACAACTGGCTTGGTCAATCTCTCTGGTTGTTCTTCGAACCAACCAATAATCCAAAAATTTGCTGCTATAAACCATAACTCTGCAACATCCACATGTAGATGGTTTGTAATTTTTTGGAGATCTTATTTTACTGCATGTGTTTCAGCTGCATCCCAGTCAACGTTCTGGCTCTGGAATGTGTACAGTTTGCTTGACTGCTTTGCTATGATCACTCTGAACCCTTAACTTGTACATTTGCGTTTGTTATCTCCCAGCTAGTCACTGTATATCTCCACAAGCGTGTCCTGAAATATATCCTTTACTCAACACTAATATTCGGTTTGTAAAGGATTGGGTTTTAGAAACTACAGTAGATGGTAAAATTTATCCACATATATGTATAAAAGTTGCTGGGAGAGTGTTTCTAGTAACAACATATTAAATCCAAAGCTTTGACAGTGGCAGGAAGAACAAGTGATGCATGTTGCCCATTGCATGCCACTGGCAGAAACCCCTGCACACACAGACACACACAGAAACATGCAGCAATGCAATATAAGCAGTAATTGAATAAAGCCTGCATGTGCTGCTACCAGTTACTTTTGAGCACTTCACATCTCAACCTGCAGTCTAATAGATTTATCTGCTAAACTATGTACAGTTTATTAGTCACGTGTTCAGTCTGATGAGAGTGGAAAATGGTAACCTAAAGAAATTCACCTATGTAGTAATGACCTTTGTTGGTCCTTGAACCACCCTCTGCTCTTATTTGACAGTGACATCACTATTGTATGTCACATGACTTTGGCAGTCGGTCCTATTGGATGGTGCATGAGCTGCCGTTTTTGCTTGCCTTGCATTGGCTGCTTTGCCTTGTGTTTGGTTCACATCTGCATGCTGCGGCTTGCTTCATTTGAAACGTTGCATATTTTGCCTTCGGAGAATTAGTGCATTTGGTTGTCTTTCCAAGAAGTGTCCTGAAGTCCCTGCACTCTAACTCCTCACCAGTCCTAACACAATTACTAAAAACATATATCCCAATTGGATGAAACTGGTTAGATCTGGATGATTTCCTTTCCCCTGTGTTGTATGGTTTGATTCTACATTACTGGATATGAAAAGCTTGTTTGGAGCCTTGCTGATTTGAGTTTGGTTTGCTTTGACTTGTTTGGCTCCTGATATTTTTTATTATTATTTGTATTGAGTTTGAATCTTCTTTAATTTGGATTTGACTGTTTTTCTTCTCATTTTTTTTATTCGTCTGTAAGGAAGATTGCCTGCATAATTTGAAGTACGACTAACTATTTTCCTTCCCTTTCCATTCCCCAATCCCCCCTCTTGTTCCTTTTTCACAATCCTTTATTTCTGTTCTCTTTCCCTTGCTTTTCCCTTCCTCAACTCCCCCATTTCTCTGGTTATACTGTGGCTGTATTGTAGAATAATTTCATCAACCTAAGTTTTCTAAGGCTGTTCAGAGCAGCTCGTCTCATCAAACTGCTGAGACAGGGAGAAACCATCCGAATCTTGCTCTGGACCTTCGTTCAGTCTTTCAAGGTTTGCTTCCAATTATACAGCTTATTACCCTGAAAAATCACATGCATTGATATGTGTAGACGCTACATGTCAGTGCAGTGTATTCATTGTATAGATCCCTTCCTTTTACAAAAGAGGTTTTGGTGCAGTGCAAAAGTATATTAAAAAAAAGAATTTGATTCTGATTTGAACCTTATATTAAACTGTAAAACGTGTTGTTAAAAGGCATTATTCATTTTAAATTGGCTGCCAGCAATTCTTTTAGAGGAAGCTGTTCCTAACATTGGTAACATTGTCATGCTTAAAGGTACAGTGTATGTGTATCATACAAAGGAGCCAAGAGAGGACGGAGGTCTTCATATTTTTTTTCACTGCATGTTTGAGGTTAAACTTTTAACTTGGATTTCAAAACAATGGTTTTCAGAAATTTCTGGAGTCCATGGAGGGATTTTCATAAGACCAATAGAGGCACTTATTAATTGTGAGATATTCCACCAGGTGTCAGATAGATAGATAGATAGATAGATAGATAGATAGATAGATAGATAGATAGATAGATAGATGCAGGATCTAGCTTATTAGTTAACATTTATTGTGTCTCTTTTCAGGCACTGCCTTATGTTTGCCTCCTCATTGCCATGCTGTTTTTCATCTACGCCATCATTGGGATGCAGGTGGGTGAGAACCTCAACCTAAAACTTGCTCCAGTGCTGCTGGGATGCATTAAATATATTTTATAGTATAACTATAATGACGAGGAGTGCAGCATACTAAATGATAGTGAAAAGAGTGATCATATTTGGAGTATAATAGCAAGAGAAGGAACATTACAAAAATGTCAAAATGGGATTTATGTCTTAGTTTCAGATTGTTACTTATAATCTTTGTTCCTGTATGTTTTTGTGGCAAAAAAGACTAAATGTTCAGCGATCAACAACCATCGTCTAGTTTTCACTTTTAACAGTATCATTGTGTTTGACAGCTGTTTGGGAATATTGCAATTGAAGAAGTTGGAGACAGTGCCATCAACCAACATAACAACTTCAGGACCTTTGTAGAGGCTCTTATGCTTCTCTTTAGGTGCTTTTATATGTAACTCTGTAAACCTATAATATACATTTCCATGCATGCCCCAGTCTCTCTTGAGGTCATTCAATTCTGGATAGGTAAAATAATCTTTTTGTATGTTTGAAGGAGTGCAACGGGTGAGGCATGGCACGAGATCATGTTGGCGTGTCTTGGGGGTAAGGACTGTGACCTCAAGTCAGGGAATGTAGATCCAGATTGTGGCAGCCAGTTTGCCTACCTCTACTTTGTGTCGTTCATCTTCTTCTGTTCATTCTTGGTGAGCCCCCGGGTTATCCCAGTTACTGATCGACATAACATAATATAACATTACATGACACAACACAGTGCAATGCAATGCCACACAGCATGACAAAACGCATTATAACATACACATAACTAGGGATGGCATAACACGACAGCACAACATAAGATGACTTGACAAAACTTAACATAACATCATGTGACCGATCATAACATCGTAACATAATGTATCACGATATAGTATATCATAACGTAACATGAAATACCACATTGTAACCTGACATATCGTAAAATTGCATGACATAACTTGGTATAACGTAATATGACATAATAAGACATAACAAGACTAACAATAACATAAAATTGTCCATCTTTTAGTTAAAGCTGATTAAGTAAATTAGCATTTCACGTCACAGCTATTAAACCAGTGATTTTGTGAAATCAGTGGCTGTTTGTAACTTTTTTTGTAACTTTTCTGTTTGTATGTGTGTCGCTGGGTGTGTTTGTGTGCATGCATGCATAGATGCTGAATCTGTTTGTAGCTGTTATCATGGACAACTTTGAGTACCTGACTAGAGATTCATCCATACTAGGACCTCACCATTTGGATGAGTATGTCAGGATATGGGCGGAGTATGACCCTGCTGCCTGGTGAGTTATATAACGCCTATACTCAGGTGTAAAGAGGCACAAGCACAAGGAACAGATCTGTTTACACATGTAGTACTTGCACATATATTCATAAAAATATACTTTTAAGAGTTTGTACATACAACAACAAAGACACTATTTAAAACCTGATATTTAGACACCTTTAATGCATCTTTTTCTCTATATTTTAATAAGCTTGCCCACACAGAGAGACGCAAGAAGTTAAAGCGGCTACTTCTCCTTAATTTTGAGATTTTCTTTTCTTTTTTTGGTGTGAAGACTTTTTTTTTAAGTGATACAGTGAACAAGAGAATTGAACACATACAAGCATCGGCTTTTTAAAACATTAATTTACTAAAGAAATAGCTGCAAGGGGGCTGTAACGGATCTGAGTATAACCTCATCAGACATCTGGTTATCTCTCTCACACCGTACAACCCCTCCCACTCTGTCCTCGCCTTTACTGTAAACTCCCTTCACCCCTTCCTAACACTCTCCCTCTTCTGGAATCGGTATACTGTCAAAAACTTAACACGGCAACGTCTACACTCCAAACTGAAGCTTCCGTGTAGTCCAAATGTATATTGTAGACATGCTAAGTTTCATGGTATCTGTATTCCAGTGCCTGTGTTTTTCCCTCATGCCTTCCTATAGAATGCACTACTATAAATAGAAAATACAAATAATATGGTGTGCAATAAATATGCTGTGCACCATTTCTATTGTACAGTTGTGTTAGGATTGCCTTTCTTGAGACTAACATGCTATTTTTTAACCTCTAAGGAAACCAAGTAATAAACAAAGAAGAAGAAGAGAATACAATAAGAAGGCACTGTTTAGGACAACTTTAAACAGAATGTGCCATTCAGTTATGTTTCTGCTATTTCTGTATGTGCATGTAGAGTTTGTATAAGTGCATTCAAGTGATGTCGTAAGAGTCAGTTTTTACAGTTCTTCTATATTGTAAAGTATTTCCAGATACTGTGTTCTTGTCAATCTTGTATTCTTCCTCCCAATGTCCCCTCTTCTTTCTTGATGTGTGTGCCTGTGTGTGTGTGCGTGCGTGTGTTTTTCTTGTGTGTGTGTGTGTGTGCGCGTGTTTGTTAACTCCCTGTATTCTTCTTGCAGCGGGCGCATACATTATAAGGACATGTACAGTTTATTACGAGTTATCGACCCGCCTCTTGGCTTAGGCAAGAAATGCCCCCATAGGGTGGCCTGCAAGGTTTGACTTCCATTCAAACAAAACTTCTTAAATCACACTTGCTAGCCACAGCATCCAGGAATGGAGTGAATGCCGCTTTGTTTTCTTCTTCATTTCAACTTTACAACTTTGTTTCCACCATTATCGACTTGCATTCTGAACTGCCGAGAGAATGTGCGGGACAATGCAGACACCCAGAGAAGCATGCGAAATGCATTAACCGAAATAGGGAGGGGGAATTCACATCAAGGCGTTTTATCATGTTGGAAAAAATAATCTTTTTTTTTTAATATATGAGCATTTTTTTTCCTTTTGCTTGCTGTGGAGACATGGCTATAATGTAGCAAGCTACGGTCGCCCACTGTAGTGTTGCATTGTTCTTGGTTGTTGGGGGGTTGGGGGAACGACAGAAACTGCATTGACACTTCTTCCCTCACTCCTTCCTCTTCCTTTTCCTCTCCTGTCTGAGCAGGAGCAGCTTGGCGCCCGCTGTCAGGCTCTGCCTGTTCTGTTCTTGCACAGAATTATCTTCTGATACTACAAGAGGATATTTATTCCTTAAATTCTTCCTCTTGCTCGCCTCCCTATCCACTGTCATTTACCCTGTTCTCTGATATGACAACCTGTTAGAGAGTACTGTTACTCAAAGAGAAGCCACACAGCCAAAACAGTCTCTCCAAATCCTCCCAATAACCTTGTCTCTCTGTTGTTGTTTTTTTTTAAACATTGTTTCAGTCATCTCTCTCTCTCTCTCTTGCTTTCTGTCTATCTTTCTCTAAAATCTTTTCTGCTACTCTTTCACTCTCTCTCCATTGTATTTCTCCTTCTTGGAATATCTGCATCTCTCTCTTTCTTGTTAACGGGGTGGTGGCATGGCTGATGATGCAGTGGCAGGATCAGTTGCAGGGAAATGTATGACATGCTGAGGCACATGAGTCCTCCACTAGGCCTCGGGAAGAGGTGTCCAGCTCGGGTGGCCTACAAGGTCAGAAAGGCCCCCATCTTCACCCAAGTCTTCTATGGGTGATGTGGGTTTTTTTGGGGGGGAAGGCTATCTAGAACAATGATTTAAATTATCAACGTGGTGTAAACTTTTAGTGTCATTGTTTCTTTGGTTCTGTTCCTGTTTCTTTTTGTGGAAAGTGGGGGTGGGCTGGTCGGTGTTGTGACGTTGTGTGGTGATGTGGGACTTGTGGGTGGAGGTAGCAGGATGGTTAGGTTGACGGGTTTAGATAAGGGGTCTGTATCCACAGGAGGGGATGACAAAGAGGGACCTTCTCAGCTCATTTGCACCGTGTACAGCTCACATACACAAAAGCACAAAAGGCACACACCTCACGATTAGTAGTGTCCTCGTTTAACTGTATAGATCAATGCTGTATGAAGACATTAAGACACCTATTAAGCAGATAAACGTGTCACACATGTAGGCACCCTTCAATACATACACTTACACAGAAGCATGCGTGTGCAGCAGGGCTTGGAAGGTCCATTAGACTTATGTCCTCTGACTCGTTCCATCCTGTGGATGAGGTAGACGCATACACAGAAACACACAGAAATAGGTCATATCAACCTACACAGATATTTTCTGTTACTTCTCATGGTAGAGAGAGCAGAAGGGCTTGTGTCAGTGATGTGTTTTCCTCAGAGAGCCTTTGGTTGCCATACAGAAGCAGTTCTTTTTCTGTCACCCTTCATGTAGCAGCTCCAAGCCCCCAAGCAGCCTTTTCTATCTGCAAGTCCAATCTTCTCTTTGTCCTTTGGTTCTGTCGTCAATGCAGTTCTATTC